TGCTGTTTTTTCTCTCGAAGAAATAAATAAAAAACATTAAAAAATTTAAAAAAAAGAAAAAACAAACACACATTATCCCAAATTTTACCCCTAGTGGAAATTAATCACCTTTAAATTGTAGTGACTGTTCTTCCAGAGGGTCATGTGTGTGTGTGTGTGTGTGTGTGTGTGTGTGTATGGGCATATATATATATATCAAATTTAATTACATACATTTTTATGAGTGCATTATTATGTGTATATACAATGCATTTGTTTCTCTCTCAACATGTTTTTCACACGTGAAGACGTTTTCACCTAACTATGTAAGTGGGATTGTAGGGAATGTACTCTATATGTTATTCCATAGTTTTTCATTCAACAGTGGGTCGTAAAGATATTTTCATGTCACTGAAAAATACAGATATACTTTATCCTTTTAATGTCTGTGAACTATATCTCTGTAGATATACCAGATTGATTTTGAACGGTAAAATTAACAGCAGTTCTTTTTTTTTTTTTGAAAGCTAGACAGATTGCAAGTGGGGGAGGGGCAGAGAAACATGGAGACAGAATCCAAGGCAGGCTTCAGGCTCTGAGCTGCCAGCACAGAGCCCGAGCCTGATGCAGGGCTTGAACCCACGAGCTGTGAGATCATGACCTGAGCCGAAGCCGGTTGCTCAACCTACTGAGCCACTGAGGCACTCCCCACCCCTAGCAGTGGTTCTTAAATGGGGTTTGGCTCTAGGGAGTACTCTGGGCTGAGGCCCTAAGTAACCTCCTTTTGGGAAGATACCAAGATGGTTGGGAGTCAAATGGCTATTCTTGGTGGACTTGTTTATTTTTTGGTGACTCGGGATTAGTGCTTCCAATTGAGGAGAGAGCTTCCAATAATAAGGGCTCAGGGAGGGAGTTCCTTTATGTAGTATGATCTTGGGGTATGAGGTGACAGGATTGGCCAAGGCTTTAAAGTGAGAAGGAATTAGGAATGTTGGGATGGCATTAACAGAATATAATATGAACAGTTAAGGGCTCTGGTTCAGGTCAGTAGACCAAAGCAGAAAGTAGAGGAGAGCCTTCTACTTTAGTTAGGCGAGTTGTGGAGATGGACCTCTAGCAGAGATACATTTGCCTTCATGGGTTGGGCATTTGTGAGGAGACATTTCCTACATGGAACTTAGAAATAAACATGACATTGGTTTTTTAATCTCACAACCTGGACAAATGAAATGAACGTGGTTAGGAAGTTACTATTTAGTTTTCTTCCTTTTTTTCTTTTTTAAGAAAAAGAAAAGCATTCTTGTTTGTACTTTGTGTTTTGCTTCCTTTAAAGAGCACTCTCAGGCCTTTTAGCTACCAGCAAATCATTTTTAAAGACTTGTGTTTCTGTTTAAAGAGTGTGTGGTCTATCCTTAATAGAGTTCTTCCTTTCCACTTCCCTCCCCTTCCCTTATTCCTTCCACTGACTGGAAAAGAGAGCCTTGGCGCTATTACTGCAGAGTGACCCAAATTAGCAAGTGATCAGGGTGTAGGCGATGACTCTGAACGCCAAAACACGTGGGTCCAGTTTTACCCTGCCAAGTGATTTTAATCTTTGTAGCAAGGCTTCATCCAAAATGTCCATTTGTAGAGATACAGGAAAATAATAAGTTTTGGGGGGCCTATTAAGAATTTATTACAGAACACATCTAAAATAGAGTTGAACTAATATCACCACACTGCCTCTGCCTTTTTACTCTGCTTTGTTAGGGATTGTACCAAAATTGTTTTTTTCTCTCATTACACATCTACTGATATTCTTTGTGTTGGACTTATATATTAATTAACATTATGAAGTATGCCTTAAAATAACATGGTTTTCGTTAACTCAGTAAATCTACTGAGTGTGAAAGTACTTTTGTGAATATTGGATATATGATGGTGAATGTCCATGATTCCCACCCTTATAGAAATTATTGTTAAGAGTGAGATAGAAGCAAATGCTAGAAGAATATGGATGATAACAAGCAAAAAGGAAAGGGAAATAGTTCTACTGTGGGATGTAGGGATGCCTGAAAAAAGCTTAATAGGCAGATGATTTTTGAAAGAGGATTGTTTACTACATAGGTGCAGATGGGGTGGGGTATGGGGCTAACAATGCTCAGACCAGTCCAGAGCATCGTTACTAGGGCCACAGACCGCTGGGACATTATGATATTGCAAATAGCTTCATATAGCTAATGTGAAGGATGTGTATGGAGGAGTGGGAGGAGATGATGCTGGAGAGGTAGGCAGGGGAGGTTGAAGTTATCCAGATTTTTAAATGGTCAGTTAATTAAATCAGGGAAAGATTATATGGCAAGTAGGAGGAAACAAGATTTCAGGCAGGGAGGTCAGTTTGCAGCTGCTAAAGTAATCTAGCTGGAAGTGCTTAGGCCCAAACTCTCAAACTAAGTGATTAGAAATCAGAATGAAAATGAAGATAAAGTAAAGGTGTATAAACAGTAAAGCGTGACTGATTTTGTATGTCGGTAAAGGAGAAGGAAGAATCCGGATGGCTTCCACACAGTCTGTCTTGTGGGATTTTAGAGGATACCTGTGGCCATTTGAGGAGAAGCTGGTTTACAAAGGAATTATATAATGAGTTTGGTGTATGAACATGTTGAATTTGAGTTGATAAGAGATATCCAGAAAGATGTGTTCTGTAGGTATTTGGATCTGAAGCTCAGAATGAATTTACAGTGAAGGATAGAGAGTCATCAGGTTTGAGTTTTTTGAAACTGTGGGAGTATAGATGTGATAATCTAGGAATTCAGGAAGAAAAGTTCTGAAAACAAAACATGAACAATATGGAAGTGGGCCAGAAAGAAGAGCTGGTTAAGAAGATTGAGAGGGAATGGCCTGGAAGGAATCCACTGAATTTGTCAGATGGAAGGCATTGGTGATTATTGCTAATGGGATTTTAGTGGTGTGCTAGAAGTAAAAACCATATTGCAGAATAATTCTATGTACAATATTCATTGCCTTTATGCACTGAATTCTAGATTTAAGTACATATATTATTTAGTTTATTTTTATTTTTTTTTGTAAATATTTTTTACCATTTATTTTTGAGAGAAAGCGCGAGCAAGCAGGGGAGGGGCAGAGAGAAGGCAAGACAAAGAATCTGAAGCAGGCTGCAGGCTCTGAGCTGTCAGCACAGAGCCCATATTTTTATTTTTTAAAATGTTTATTTATTTTGAGAAAGAGAGTTTGGGAGGAGCAGAGAGAGAGGGAGAGAGAGAGAATCCCAAGCAAGCTCTGAGCTGTCAGCACAGAGCCCAGCGTGGGGCTTATGCTTAATCAGCTGAGCCATTCAGGTGCCCCAGTACATATAGTTTTTTAAATTAAAAGATACAGATAAGTTTAGAGAATTCATTAACCGAATCTGTGTACCTAGTATACTGTTTTTTTTTTTTTTAATGGTTTTATTTTTAAATAATTACAAACTCAGGAAGTTCTGTAGAACCTCCAGAATAGCCTTCACTTAGCTTCCTCCAGTCACTTGTTTAGTGTAACAGATACCTTGTTTGGTTTAACAAATGTCCTGAACTGGCTAAAATGCTAATAATTTTGGGATGGGTTATGGAACTGCAGGTAGTGTAAATTTGATTTTGTATCCTCCACATGGTGCAGGCCTGGTGTTTTGATTCTCATAGGAGTCTCTCTCCTTCCACTGAGGGAAGGGCAGATGGCAAGCTTCCTGGCTGCTTCTGAGGGCACATGGGTGGAGCTTTTCCAGCTCCCTTTTCACATACTGAGCACTGCTTTTGAAGATCTCTTTTTTAGATCTCCGCTCAAAATAGGGGTTTTACCTCCAGCTCTTGCCTGAAATAGGCCCAGAATCAGGTTTCTGTCTCTAGGCCAGGATCCCCTGAGGCTGCCTTCGTGTCAGCTAGAGCTTACATCTTTCGAGTTTCTTCCTTTCTGGAACTTGGGACTTCTACCCCACTCCCTGCCCTTTGTGAGGTCAGCTGTATTCTAGTTTTTCATGTTGATTTGGCATTTCAGTGAGTGTCTTTGGGCACATGGTTATATTAGTCTAGTCTACTGTGTTGTTTGGATCAAAAATCTAATAAACTGCCTTATAATTTATTCCTTAATTTTATTCTCTGTCCACAAAGAGTATTTGAGGTCAGGTTATATTACTCTTGTTAAAATAATTTATTTTTAAACGGATAATACATAAACATTAAAAAAATTCTCAATAGACAAAACACAAAAAATAAGAAAAAAGGATAATATGTGCATGTGATATAAAATTGGAAAGATAAAGGGTATGCATGTTTTCCTTTGCTCTCTTCTCTACCTGCCTCACCCAATTTGCCTTTATTGATAATAACCATTTATCAGTTTCTTATATATCCTAGAGATAGCCTGTGCACTAGTTTTCTTTTCTTTTTTAAACAGCATTGTTAACTTTAAAGTAGTGCTTATAATTCAGTTTTGTAACCAGTATTCAGGATTTTTCCATCTGTTTGACAAGTAGTAATTGTACTTTCTTCTTCTTTGAGAGCTTTTGAGGGAGAACGTGATGCTAATTATGTGTTACGTGTGTGTTTATATATATGTGAATGGATTATCTGTGTTTTAATTTTTGTTCACTTGAGAAAACCCTCAAAATGTGACAGAATCTGACAAAGTAGTATAAACTGTTGATTCAAATGTTTTAAGGTAATATGAGGAATATTAAAATAATGAAACATTAACCCTAATTTTTAGAAAGTAGTGGAAATGATATTTTAAGATACTGAAATCTTATCAAAACACCTTGAGGATATCCTTAAAAATTATCCTCATTACTAATCATTATATACTATTGTTTGCATATGTGCAAATAATTGCCCATAGAAGTGAAGGAGGCTCTGTCAAAGATGAAGCCCTCTCTTTTAGGTTCCTTAGCCGTAGTTTATACCATTGATTGCCTAACTGCAGCTTGGTGAGATTCACTGGCATGGAAGCAAAAAATGGAAGCCTATGACCTAATATGTTTTCTTCCTTAGATCAACCTCTCCACTTCTCCTACACCTGCACAGTTAATAAGCCGTTCCCAGGCTTCCAGTTCTACCAGCGGCAGTATTACCCAACAGACTATGTTACTAGGGAGTACCTCCCCTACCCTAACGGCAAGCCAAGCTCAAATGTATCTCCGAGCTCAAATGGTAAGATATGAGCTACCAAATTTTTTCAGTGTTTAAGGACTTGAGAGAGATCAAAATGTTTCTTGATTTGATGCAATAAGAGGCATTTTTAATATTTAAGAAATGTTTAACAAATTTTTTATATGTGTGCTTAGCTCTTATACATATATGCCATAAAAATTCTACTTTTAATTGGTAGGCCTTCTTGGTGTATCAAATAGTAGCAACATTGGGAAACTAACAGATTCTGTAACATGGAGTGATGATTTTTTAATATCAAATTTTATTGATTTCAAACCTTTTTCACATTTTAACATCTCTGAAACCGAGATGCATTTATAACTGATAGCATCTTACAGTATTATAATTGATAGTTGTAGTGATATATGAAGTCATTGTGTATTTTTGACATTTTAAATTTGATGAAATAGTTACAAGTGTTAAAAACTTGGTGGTGAAGATCTTCTGAAATCTGGATTGGAGTTCCCGGTAGTTTACCAGATGGTTTTTAGCTTTGGTTATTCCCGTCTCAAAATCTGTGACGTATTTGTGTTCTTATACTCACTTTGATCTTTTGTTAATACAGGAGTGCTAATTTGGCTATTCTGTATTTGAGTACCTGCTGATTTCCTAATTTGACTGTTGAACTTCTTTAAGGAATGTAGAAATTGTGTGACCTTTGTTTGGTGTCTTTACAGGTAGCTAGACAAGAGCTCTGGCCTGATATATATTTATTTATATTCTTTTTTTGTCCAGTGAATGGAATATATATCTGGATCACCAGTTTTCCACTAAAATGACAAAGTTTTCCATCATTTTTCTAACAGGAAACCATGACATGGCCCTCCTTTTATTTACAGATTATTCAGTAGACATTACCATATTTCTGGTTTTATTTCCCCAGGAAATCTTATTTAATTAATAATATGCTTTAAAATTAGACTGAACTATTTGAAATGAACACTTTGACCTCTTTATAAAACTTGCAGGTTCACGTGGTTCAGGCTACATAGAACATGTTCTCTTTAGGTTTACTGCTTTCAGCTGTTTATTCCGGAAATTACCTTCTTGTGAAAGTTATACTTGGTTGTTTAATTCACTTAAATTTAGTACATAAAGAACTGAAATTTTAAAAATCTCTTAATTGGTAATTTAAACAGGAATGGTTGGAGGAACTGAATAATTTGTAATGCAATTTTGAAATAGAGCATATACACATTGTTTGAAATGACTGTCGTCATTTACTAAATTGGATTGGTTGATCCAATCTGAGTGGATTGTATTGCCTTTTTAAACTAATAGCATTCTGTTTCAGTATTAAAAAATAACATTTGAAGAGGTGGTGCTGATAAATCGAGTATGTCTTTATTTATTTGATGTGAAGCTTTTTTGCAGGCTGTTTCGTTGTTGCATTTTGACGTATTGTGGCATTTATATTTGGAATGAATATTTCTTTATGAACAGTTTTAAAATCAAGAACAACCTGGGTTTGCACTATAGATTCCATGTGGCTGAGTGAAATACTATAGTGTAGTATGTAGCATAGTTATCTTTTGTGATGAAGAACACTGAGAAGACCTTTGTGTTTCTTTTCAGATTTCTCACTGAAATTTGTATTCAAGAGTAGTGACTGTGGTTGTCTACTATAAATAACTTCCATTTTAGGAATCCTGTTAGAGTTGGGAAAATTTTAAGCATAATAATAGCTTATTTGGGGCAAAATTTGATATGAGGATTTCATATTGCCAGAATACATTTTCTTTTTTGAGCACTGATTTATTTTTCTACTCATCAGAATCATGAGCTGTTTCAAAATGTTTATGGTTTTCTTTTCCCCTATTAGAAATTTCTCTTTGTCATGTAAAACCTTTTGCTTAGGAGACAATCCTAAACTGCATTGTCTTTCTGTCACAAATTTCAGTCTTTCTTGCCTGCTATACATTGTGTGTGGGACACGTTCTTTTGTCTTAGGGTATTTTTTTGGTTTTTCTGTCTGTACAGCTGATTTTCACACCCGCTACCACTGTGGCTGCTGTACAGTCTGACATTCCTGTTGTCTCGTCGTCATCGTCATCTTCCTGTCAGTCTGCAGCTACTCAGGTGAGCTTGTCTGCTTCATAATGTACTTGAGGTCTGGATCTTCAGGTTAAAGAAAAACATACATTGTGTTTAAGTTACAGATGGTTTCAGTGCTCTCTGTCATAGGTTTCAGATTGGAATTTAATAAAATACCATGAGAACTTAAAGAAGGGTTTTTGGTTAAATACAAATTTTATATTAAAACAAAACAAAACCGATCAGAATGAAACAAAAATTATTATATTACCATTAAACACCAATATTTAGGTTTTTTGACCTTAGTGAAAGTTAGTGAGTTTTTGGTATTATATATGTTTGTTTTATTATAAAGCAGATTTATTGCTCTTATGTGAGTGGTATTCTGTTCTGTAGATTCTTTTGCAAGCAGTTGTGTAATAACTGAGTCAAGATAGAGTTTAAGTTTAAAAATGAATTGGGGCTATTTTTAATTTGAAAAATTGAATAGAATATTGCTTTGGTACTGTGAAAGAAACAAACTTTAATTTTCTCACCATTCATAAAAATAAACTAGAAGTGCAATGTAGACTTAAAGGTAAAAGCCCAAACTATAAAATCTCTACAGAAAAACCTAGTGTTATCTTTACAAGGCAGGCAAAGCTTTCATAAAAAGTACTAATCATGAAAGAAAATAATAAGTTGGAATTTATCAAAATTAAAATCTTCTTCAAAAAATATTGGTTACCAAAGTGTAGAGGTGGGCCACAGACGGAGGAAAAATTTTCATAATACACATATCTGACAAAAGACTTGTATCCAGGATATACAAAATATGCTTATAGTCAATAAACCATGGGCAGTTCAGTTAAAAATGGGCCAAAGATTTAACACTTTGCAAAGGAAGATATACAAAAGGCTAATAAGCAAATGAAAAACATGCTCAACATCATTAATCCTTTTAGAAATTAAAATCACAACCATAGTGAATATCACTACACACTCACTAGAATGGCTGAAATGAAGGAGACTCCTAATACCACATGTTGGTGAGAATGTGGAGCAACCACAATTTCATAATATTGCTGGTTAGATTGTAAAATGGTTCAATGACTTTGGAAAATAATTTGTCAGTTCATTATAAACATATACTTAACATATGACCCACCATTTCTGCTTATAGGTGTTTATTCTGAGAGATGTGGAAACATATCCATATAAAGATGTGTAAATGAATGTTTGTGGCAGCTCTATTCAAAGTAGTCCCAAACTGGAAGCAATTAATGTCCTTTAACTGGTGAATGGATAAACAAATGTGGAATATTGCTCAGAAATAAAAAAGGACAAACTCCTGATGCAGCTCCGGAACATTATAATAGCAAAAGAATGCAGACACCAGACAGTACTTACCTTGTGATTCTGTTTATACAAAATTCTAGAACAGGTACAGCTAATCCAAAGTGAAAAAAAAAAATAGATTGGTGGTACCCGGGACAGAATGTGGGAGAGATTGACTGGGGCAGGGTATGGGTGAACTTTTAGGGTGATGGAAATGTCCTATATTTTCATTAGGTGGTGGTAACGTGGCATATACATATATCAAAACTCGATACAACTGGTTTATTCATCATACTGTATGTAAGTTATACCTCAGTAAAGTTGATTAAAATAAATGAAATTGAATAAATTTTATTTTATTAAATAATCTCTACATTCAACATGGGGCTCAAACTCACAAACTTGAGATCAAGAGTCCAGTGCTCTATCCACTGAACCAGCCAGGCACACGTAATAAATTTTAAATTACAACAATTGTGTAGAATATTACTTTGTAAGATAGATACTGTTTTGGTATTTTTCAGTAAAATATGTTTGATACATATGGCAGAAATAGGTATGTCTTAGAGTCATCCTTTGCTTTTTATTTTTAATAATCTAAATTTTTGGTAAAAATTAAGAAATGAGACAGTAGTAATATTCTATGGTACTTTTTGTAGAACCTCTTTATTCTTTTATTGAGTAATAGAGGCCAGTTTGCATATATTAGCATATAAAGATGGTGATCAGTTAAACTCAGGTTTCTCATAATGTGCTCTTTGATCCTCCACAATTCTTTAGTTGTACTTTAGTTTCCATATTTACAAAATGAAACCTTTGTTAACTTTGTTTTTTGAGCTCCAGTCTTTTTTTTAAGTTTATTTATTTTGAGAGGGAGGAGTGAATATGTGTCTGCGCACACGTGGGAGAGGAGCAGAGAGAGGAAGAGACAGAATCCCAGACAGACTCTGCGCTGACAGCACAGAGCCCTATAGGGGGCTTGAACTCATGAACTAAGAGGTCATGACCTGGGCCATGAGCTTTTATGATATCTCTTTGTGGAGTGAATTTGTTGAAGTAATGGTCTTCCTGTTTTCTTTTGGTTTTATAAAACCTAATAAAGGAAGACCATTATCAACCTCCAGAGTTTGCCTGATTTTATTTTTATTTATGCTTGACTTTGTCCCAACTAAGATTCTAATTGATTCACAAGATGCATACAACAAAACAAGGTAAAATAAATTGGAAACATGCATCAAAAAAGCAGAAATTAAAAAAGGAAAGTGGCATGGAGTTAGCAGTGAGGCTCCCGAATCAAATTACATGCATGAAGTCCTCCATGGACTTAATTTCATCTCCCACTTCAGTTATTTATTAGTTGTATAATTTTAGCCAAGTTTTCAAACAATTTTAATTGTCATACATACTTGCGGGGTAAGTTGAAGAATGAATAACATGTATTTAGGGTCTAGAACATTATAGGTACTCAGTACTTTTTTTTGCAAAGGGAAGAATAGAGAGACCTGGGTTCAGATTCTGACTTCAGCACCGACTGCCAGCTTTGTCACCTAACAGTTGATTGATTTTGGACAAGATCATAGTGTAGCATGGTGTTATAAGTGTGGCCTCTGGAGCCATAATCTCCCAATTCATATACATGTTCTGCCGCTTTCTTACCACGTATCATTGATCTCTCACCTCAGTTTCAACAGTATAAAATAAATATTTATAAAATGCTTACTTCAAAGCACTGTAGGAAGGATTAAAAATGTTAATAATTGAAAATTATAACAGGATCTGACACGTAGCACTCATTAGATGTTAGTTTTTGTTATTACCTGTGCTGAGCCTCACTTTTTTTTTTAATGTGTTTTTAAATTTATTTCTGAGAGCGAGAGGGAGGGAGAGGGAGGGAGAGGGAGGGAGAGGGAGGAGGAAAAGGAGGGAGAGGGAGAGAAAGATACAGAATCTGAAGCAGGCTCCAGGCTCTGAGCTAGCTGTCAGCACAGAGCCCAGTGCAAGGCTTGAACCCACAAACTGTGAGAGCATGACCTGAGCCAAAGTCGGACGCTTAACCGACTGAGCCACCCAGGCACCCCCCACCCCAACTTTTTTTTTAAAGTAAGCTCTGTACCCAGTGTGGAGCTTGAACTCTCAACCCTGAGATCAAGAGTTGGCACTCTCAGGGCACCTGGGTGGCTCAGTTGGTTAAGCATCCAACCTCATCTGAAGTCATGATCTCACGGTTTGTGGGTTTGGGCGCCATGTCGAGCTCTTCACTATCATTGCAGAGTCTGCTTGGGATTCTCTGTTCTCTCTACCCCTCCCCAACTTTTGCTCTCTCACTTTTTTATTTTTTTATTAAAAAAAATTTTTTTTCTTAAATAGTTTATTGTCAAGTTGGTTTCCATATAACACCCATTGTCCCCACAAGTGCCCTCCTCCATGCCCATCCCTCCCCTTCTCCTCTCCCCTACCCCCATCAGCCCTCAGTTTGTTCTCAGTATTCAAGAGTCTCTCATGGTTTGCCTCCCTCCCACTCCCCAACTATTTTTCCCCTTCTCCTCCCCCATGGTCCTCTGATAAGTTCCTCCTAATCCACATATAGGTGCAAACATAATGGTATCTGTCCTTCTCTGCCTGACTTATTTCGCTCAGCATAACACCCTCAAGTTCCATCCATGTTGCTACAAATGGCCAGATTTCATTCTTTCTCATTGCCATGTAGTTTTCCATTGTATAGATAAACCACCTCTTGATCCATTCATCCGTTGATGGACGCTTAGGCTCTTTCTATGTTTTGGCTATTGAGAGTGCTGCTATGAACATTGGGGTACATGTGCCCCTATGCATCAGCACTCCTGTATCCCTTGGGTAAATTCCTAGCAGTCTCACTTTCTAAATACATACATACATACATACATACATAACTTTAAAAAAATTTAAAAAGTTGTACACTGTACAGACTGAGCCGGCCAGGTGCCCCAAGCCTCAATTTCTTCACTGTAAATTAAATAGCTCAGAGTTGTTATAAGGAATAACGAGACAGTACACATAAAGTACTTAGCATAGTGCTTGGCACCTATCACCTGCCACTAATCACCAATTTTGTTATACATTGTCTAAAGATGAGTCCTGAATTTGGTTCTTAGGTTTCAAGTAGCTAATAGTGAAGAGAGAAAGACAGCCATTTAAATGATTCATAGTTTCCAAGGTAAAATAAACCAATTGTTAAGGAAACAACTAATGTGCTCTCTGGAGAGTGCTCTAGAGTACATCTTGTTTGGTGTTCATGGAGAAAACATGGTGTCTTTAGTAGTATCTTTAAATATGAGCATAGCCAAAATAATTTATAAAAATGACTCTTTGGGATTTGGGTCAGTGTGATACAGGTATTTGGCTCTGTGATAATCTGGATTAAAGGATGAACTTTGAGAAACTAAAGGAATGGATTGACCTTTAGGAATTTATCTACAAATGTTTTTTTCTTTACTGTGCTTTTGAAATGGCAGTGAATGAAACTGGCAGAGGTAGGGAATGCTAATACTTTGAATCTTCTTTCCTCAAATTCAGGGCTGTTACTTTTGAAATAATTGTTTTCTACTTTGTTAATTTTTAAACTTATATTTGAAAATTTTCTTATATCTAATTTTTTTTTAACATTTATTTATTTTTGAGAGGCAGAGACAGAGCATGAATGGGGAAGGGGGAGAGGGAGACACAGAATCTGAAGCAGGCTTCAGGCTCTGAGCTGTCAGCACAGAGCCCGATGTGGGGCCGAACCCACGAAATGTGATGTGAGATCATGACCTGAGCCAAAGTCGGACGCTCAACTGATTGAGCCACCCAGGCACCCCATATTTGAAAATTTTAAAACAATGAATTTGTAACTGAGAAATACCAAAGTTGACATTTTATTTTAATACTCTTTTATAGAAGTTGGTAAAACAGTTAATTTTTCCTTAAAATTTATTAAAATTTATTTGTAGTATACTGTCCAAAAATAAGAAATTTGGCATATCTTACCCTTGATTACTATTATTTTTTAAAACATTTTTTGTAATGTTTATTTTTGAGAGAGAGAGAGTACATGTGCATAAAAGTGAGGAAGGGTGCAGAGAGGGAGAGAGAGAGCATCCTAGGCATGCTCCCTGCTGTGCGTGCAGAGCCCAGTGTGGAGCTCCAACGCACGAACTGTGAGATCATGACCTGAGCTGAAATCGAGTTGGACACTCAACCTACTGAGCCACCCAGGCATCCCCCGTTATTTTCTATTTTAAGTCCTCCATCCCTTCTCCATACCATGACCAAGAAAATAAAAATAAGTAAAAAATCTAACTTTCAGAAAGATATAGGAGTAAAAGTAACAAATCATACTTACTAATGCTATCTGGGGAATGCTTTTTAGAATTGTAAAGAAAATAGCCCTTTGGATTTAAAAGCTAGAAACTCAGGAGCACCTGGGTGGCTCTGTTGGTTAAGCTTCCCACTTCAGCTTAGGTCATGATCTCACTGTTGGTGACTTTGAGCCCTGTATTGGTTTCAGTGCTGACAGTGCAAAGCCCGTCTGCAATCTCTCTCCTTTCTCTGTCCCTTTGCCTCGTGTGCTCTCACTGGCTCTCTCTCTCAAAAGAAATAAAATAAAAGCTAGAAACTCAGCTCTGCTGTTAGCAGTGTGACATTAAATCTTAGTTTCCTCATCTGCAAAGAAGGCATGCTACAGTATTCACACAGTATTTGTTAGAACCAAATTAGATAATTGATGTATTTGAGGAATCCACTATGAAAATGTAATGTGTGAAATTAGCAGAAATAAGTCATGTGAAACCTAGACTTTTTATAAAGTCAGAACGTTTCTATAATTTGATCATGGGAAAAGTTCAGAGGAAAGAAAATTGGACATTAGAGTGCCTTACTATTCTGTATTTAGAAAGGTTGGGTTTTCCTCAAAAGAGAAGCTCTGTCAAGGAAATCTGAATATGTGATCTTTCTATTAACAGCTAAATTAACTCTGTAATATACTTTGTAATTGACATGTTTGAATTTTATAAACATATAAGCCAACATGACCATGGCTATTATAGCCATATTGTAACATTTATCTATTCTTATAAATAATACATAGTTTATAGTATATATAATAAGCATACGCATATATTTTCTTTCAGAATTCCAGAAAATAAACTTAGAAGAAAGAGTGTATGATACTATAGAAACGGACTGCTTCAGGTTTAGGGTTTATAGTGTGAAATCCTCGTTTACTGTGAATATGCTCTTCATTTAAAAGAAAGTTTTCAAGTTTTCCAGATTATAATTCAGCCTTTGGTTATCACTGTGATGTGGTTCACCTTATAGACCAGTTGTGGCAGATGTTAAATTTTATGCTCTTTTCCCTTTCCTGAAAGATTCTAATGTGCCTCCACTGGATGTTTGTTAAGATTTTTTTTTTTTTTTGGTTAAATATGAACAGATTTTAATGTTGGCTAAAAAAGAACATAAATAGAACTAAATACTTACCAAAAAAAAAAAAAAGGCCAGTTAATATATATTTTAATATCAGAAATAGAATATCTCAGACTGGTGGAGTTTGTTATGTCTGTAGCACTCAACTGTGGAAAGTATTAAAATGAGTATCAGAGTTGAGAGCCTGCCAGCCAGAGTCTCAGCATTTCACTGACACAGACATTAGTAATTCTAAAATAAGCTAGATATTTGTCAGTGCTCTAGGCTAATATGATCCAAATTCTCTGGGAAATGCATTCAAGACGGGAGGAGAAATGATTTCTAACTAGGGACTTTGTAGATAGGGACTTTGTAGAGATTTCTTTGGGAGAGTGAGTGTGACTTCTACCGGGCCTTGAAGAATGGATTGGACTTCAGGAAACAGCCTTGAGGAAGTATGTGGCATTTTAGGCAAGAAAAACATGAACCAAGGGCTCAAGTACACCAGCAAGCACATGAAGTACAAGGTGTGTTTGGAGAAGGGTGAACTGAACAGTTTGGCTAGATTGAATACTGTGGATTGGAGTAGTGGAGGATGCACTTGAAGTGGTTTGGGCCTAGACTGGAGGGCTTTCAGTGGTAAGCTGGGAAACCTGGATTTTAGCACATTCTATTTTTGCATTAAATTTGAATAATGCAGCAATTATTAGTCCACTTACATTGCCATGAAATATTTGACAAAAATCCGAGAAGATGCTCCATGTGGTCTCACTTAGAAAATTTTTTCAGTTAGTTAAAATAGAATGATTTAAGCTTCAACTGCTCTGAAGTAAACATTTATTTCATATCTGTCATTGGCTGAACACTGCATTTGGTGCTTGTGAAGAGAATGTATAGCCTGTGAGTATCAGTTAATGATAGAGTTGTAGAGACCAAACATACGTGACTGAGGAATGTTCATGAAGCAGATACATCTCACTTGCTTTGTCGTCACTTTAGAAACTTTTAGTTCATTTCCTTCTCATGGCCCGTGCTGGCGTAAATGTATTTATCGCATTCATTCCAATAAGGTGAAAGGTTAGGCAGCTATTGGAGAGCCATTTTCTGCCTTGCTGTTTGAAAATGTTATAAACCTCAGGTGAGAGTCATTGGGATGATCCTTGATACTATCCAGACTGGCAATATGTTTAGAGTGATCCTGGGTGCAGACAGGAGCCATGACATAAGCCATTTCAGGTCTGTGCATGGTCTTGTCAGTTCACAAGATCTAGTTCTCAAAGGCAAGTTAGTATTCCATAACAACAGGATTTTATTTTATTTTATTTTATTTTAATTTAATTTAATTTTTATTTTATTTTTTTTAATTTACTTCTAGGAGAGAGAGAGACAGTGTGAGCAGGGGAGGGTCAGAGAGAGAGGGAGTCACAGACTGAAACAGGCTCCAGGCTCTGAGCTGGCAGTCAGCACAGAGCCCGACGCGGGGCTCGAACCCACGAACCGCGAGATCATGACCCAAGCGAAAGTCGGACGCTTAACCGACTAAGCCACCCAGGTGCCCCAACAGGATTTTAAAAAGGAGTTAATGGGAAATGATTTTCATAATTATCACAGTGGGGTAGGTGTAGGTGATTGCTTATTTATGAGTGTCCCTCCCCCTCAAAACACTCCAAGAAACAAAAAACAAGAGTTGTTCCCATATAAACTCTATAGAATGGGTAACAGTTGTTGTTGTTACCTCTTTCTGATCTATTATGAGGACTACAGTATCGTTTGTGCAGTCTCCTAACTGTATGTGTAGTAACTTCTCACAAGAGTGTGAGGCACTTGTACCCTGTAGTGTTTCACAATCTTGGTCTAGAGAAGTTAGAGTGAAGTTGAAGGAATTGCTCCTTCTTCCCTCGTGCACCCTGGGCTCTTCTGCCTCTGCACCTTTGCTCAAATTTTCCCCTTTATCTGGAAAACCCTTCTTTCTCCCTGTCTCCCTTTGGCTGTCTCTTAGCTGGTAACTTCAGAATGCAGTATGTTGCAGAGTAATTTCCTCATATTCATAGTTCATTTGTTATATATATACTATTTTCATTTTGTTCTTAATGATTCCCTTAATGTCTTTTAAAAAAGGTTTTCTTTAAGGTATGATTGCTTAGAATAATAACTCCCTTTTCCTTTAGGATTAATCACTTGTTTGGAGCTTTATGTATGAAAAGCATAATATAAATTTGTTCTCGTTGTTATAATGGTAATGATTATCACATCTCAATTAATACCATCTGTTTCATCCTTATTTTTTTGTTGTGTGGTTCTTAGGTTCAGAATTTAACATTACGCAGCCAGAAGTTGGGTGTATTATCTAGCTCACAGAACGGTCCACCAAAAAGCACTAGTCAAACTCAGTCATTGACAATTTGTCATAACAAAACAACAGTGACCAGTTCTAAAATCAGCCAACGAGATCCTTCTCCAGAAAGTAATAAGAAAGGAGAAAGTCCAAGTCTGGAATCACGAAGCACAGCTGTCACTCGGACATCAAGTATTCACCAGTTAATAGCACCAGGTGGGATAAAACTTGTTGAAAATAGTTGCATTATTCATTTTATTAGCAGGCAGAGCAAAATGAAAGAGGTCTACTGCTTGAACAAGAACAATGCTTTTAAAACATTTTAAAATGTGAATTTCATGAGTTTACAAAAAGACAAAATTGTAGCTTGAGAAAGAGAAACCAAAGGAACCCAACTGCTAAAACAAAATAATAAATTTTTTTTGTCAGTTGACATTTGATTAACATCTACATTGTGTGCTGGTCTCCCATTATGTTGGTAAAACCAATTATTATTTACTTATTTAGAATTTTTTTTTAACTCCTGTATGGTCATAGTGTTAGTTTCAGGTGTACAGTGTAGTGATTCAGTAATTCTCTTTACTGCTCACTGTTTATCAAGATAAGTGTATTTTAATCCTCATGACCTGTTTCACTCATTCCCCTAATCTAGTCCCCTCTGGTAAACCATTTGTTCACTGTCGTTAAGAGTCTTTGTTGTTGTTTTTTTTCCTCTTTTTTCCTTATTCATTTGTTTTGTTTCTTAAATTCCACATATGAAGACTTCATATGGTAGTTCTCTTTCTCTTCTTGTACTTAACATTAAACTCTAGTTCTGTGTTGCAAATGGCAAAATAACATTTTTTTTTTGACACATCTTTATCCATTCATCTATGGATGGACACTTGGGCTGCTTCCATAATTTGGCTACTGTACATAATGCTGCAAAAACAGGGGTGCATGTCTCCTTTCGAATTAGTGTTTTCATATATTTTTTAAAATGTTTTTATTTATTTGTGAGAGAGAGAGAGAAACAGCGTGAGCAGGGGAGGGTCAGAGAGAGAAGGAGACACAGAATCCAAAGACAGGCTCCAGGCTCTGAGCTAGCTGTCAGCACAGAGCCCGACGCGGGGATCAAACCCACGAGCCGTGAGATCATGACCTGAGCCGAAGTCAGATGCTTAACCGACTGAGCCACTCAGGCGCCCCTGTTTTCATATTCTTTGGGTAAATACTCATTAGTGCAATTACTGGATTGTAGGGTAATTCTATTTTTAATTTTTTGAGGAACTCCATAGTGTTTTCCACAGTGGCTGCACCAGTTAGCATTCCTATCAGTGTAAGAGGGTTCCTTTTTCTCCATGTCCTTATCAGCACTTGTTTATTGTAAAACCTTCTAGCTTAAAAAAATATATTTGACTGTAGTTTATTGAATATACTTTAGTGGAACAAAAGTAAAAGCTCTTAAAACACACATATTTTTTGTTTAAAGTTGTCATTAGTGAGTAGAGTTTACCACTTTCCCAAAATAAGGATTTTGTATAATTATTTCCCTTACGATGTTGCTTTTTCCCCACCTCATTTCATTTCTGAAAGGAAGATGTCAGGCAGTCAGTTAAGTCGTATTCATTCTCATCAACCTTTGAAACCCTCTGCCATCCACAGGTAACCTTGTTTCATGGTTCTCATGCTGAAAATGTTGGGGCCATCTGGGGCCATGAGTTTCCTTACCATCTCTTCTGTTCATCCCAGAATTTCTTAGTGTGGAGCTGTCTTCACTTCTAGTAAGATAAGGAGTTATCTGTATACTGTTTACTTGTGTCATTGATTTGCATTTTTTTTTTAAATAGCTCCTGACTTTTTCATGTTGTTATAACATCCTTTGTCTCCCTCTTGCTGGATCCTTTCCTTTGCTTCTCATGCATACTTAGATCTTTCCTATAGGTAGTGTATCTGCATATGTTTTATTCCAACTATTGTTTATTGAAAGTGTGTGTCATTCATCGGGCTAGACATCACGTATGTTTCATTAAAAAAAATACTCCTGGGTGGCATAGTCATTTGAGTTGTCTCACTCTTGGTTTTGGCTCAGGTCATGATCTCATGGTTTGTGGGTTCAAGCCCCTTGCAGACTCTGTGCTGACAGCTAACTCAGAGCCTGGAGCCTGTCTTCGGATTCTGTGTCTCCCTCCCTCTGGCCCTCCCCTGCTCATGCTGTCTCTATCTCTCAAAAATAAATAAAACATTAAAAGAAATTTCTAATAAATCTCTTTCTTAAAATAAATAAACTTAAAAAAAAACCCTCCTTTGATCCAACTTCATCAAGTAAGCATCTTCTTTCTTTTTAAAACTCTGCATTACTTTTTAAAGATTAATTTTATACTAGTGAAGTCTCCATTTTCTCCACCTAAACCTATTTCTTTGCATCTTTCCTCTGTGCTAATATTGCTACATTCTCAGTAGCACCCAACCTCAATGTCTTGGAGTTGTTTGATTCCCCTAGTTAGAAATCTTTCATCACTTTTAACATATAGCACTTTTATGCTTCTTTGTGGTCCTTTTTCTTTTATAGTTATTTATATACTTATCTTACCTTTTCTACTAGATAATAAACTCTTTGAGAGTAGAATAATATTGAGCACTTACATGTCAAGTACTTTACAATTAATAACTCCTTTAATCCTTTTTCAGAGTCACCTTTTCATCCTTTAATCTTGACAAGCACTGAATTGTAACTTATATGTACTTATCTACAATAGGTGGGCAGTAAATCTTTGTTGCGTTAATAGTTGATTTTTTTCCATTTGAATTTTGGAAATTAAGTGCAGGCTTTGTTATAATGTATGAATTAATACATTCATTGTGTAGTGTGATGTGAGGTACTTTTTTTATAAACATCTGCTCTCTGTATAGCTTGATAACAGGATTTTCATATTCAGCCTCTGGCCAGTGTTGATAGAGGACGCAGTGTGGACAACAGTGAACCCCACTGTGCTTGAAATGACTGCTCAGGGGACAGTTTTTAGTGACTCTTATAATTTTGATAGGTTATAATGAAGGGTAGGTTAATCTCTTTCCAAAGAGAATGCTACCTTCAAAGAAAGCTAGGACCTCTTTCAGGGTTAGTTCAAGCAAGGAAGTCTACTTTTAGATTTTCAGTCCTCCTGAACTCCCAAAACCTGGTTTATTTGTTGTTTTTTTTTTTAATTTTTTTTAAATTTATTTTTGAGAGACAGAGACAGTGCAAGCGGGGGGTGGGGGGGGTGGCGCTCAGAGAAGAGGGAGACACAGAATCTGAAGAGAGACTCCAGGCTCTGAGTTAGCTGTCAGCACAGAGCCCAATGCAGGGCTTGAACCTACTAACTGGAGATCATGACTTGAGCTGAAGTCAGAAGCTTAACCAACTGAGCCACCCAGGCACCCCCCCTTTGTTTTTTTAAGTTTGTTTATTTTGAGAAGGGAGGTAGTGGCAGTGTGAAGCCTGATGTGGGGCTTGAGCTCACGAACCCCTAAGATCATTACCTGAGCCGAAATCAAGAATCCCTATAGTTGGTTCTAAGTTGACAATTATGCTTCCCTTTTTTTGTTTTTTGTTTTTTGTTTTTTTTTTTTCCATTGATAGTGTGATAGTATCCCTGTAGTTGTCTTTCTTGGTGGGTATGGAGGAGACTAGTAAACTAAAACCATCAGAGTCTCAGGACAATTCAATTTCAGATTTAGACCTCTTAACATGTACTTACCAAACTCCAAGTTTCCCATAGTGTTGTTGATTAGAAACAAAACCAAATGAAACACCCTCAGCCACAAAAACCTTTGCAGCTACCAAACTTATAAATTCATTCAAGCCTTACACTGCATTTTCAAAGTAATTTATATCTTCTGGCTAGGCAACAGCTTTATTTTTCCACTCTTCTTTTTTCTGCTCTTGTTGGTGGGAAGTTAGTCTGAAATGATTTTTTTTTTTTAGATTCTTGAATCAGTAATTTGTCCTTTTCCTTAGAAAGATGCTTATTCCTATAGGCTGCTTTCAAACATGAGAAAAATCTACTGGTGTTCTAATGCAGTATAATATAATATATAATATGTAAAAATATAATTATTGTAATGGACATTATTATTTCCTTATAGTTATTTATCGGGTGCTAAAATCATTTGATTTTCTTTGTCATTTAAAAAAAATTTTTAAGTGTTTTATTTATTTCTGAGAGAGAGAGAGAAACAGACAGCGTGAGCAGGGGAGGGTCAGAGAGAGAGGGAGACACAGAACCCGAAACAGGCTCCAGGCTCTGAGCTGGCTGTCAGCACAGAGCCCGACGCAGGACTTGAACCCACAAACTGCAAGATCATGCGGTTAAGTTTATTTTTATTTATTTTTGAGAGAGAGACAGAGTAAGTGGGGGAGGGGCAGAAAGAGAAGAATAGAGAAAATCCCAAGCAGGCTTTGCACTGTCAGCACGAAGCTAGATATGGAGCTCAAACTCAAACTATGAGATCATGACCTGAGCTGACATCAAGAGTGAGACGCTTAACTGACTGAGTCACCCAGGTGCCCCTCATCATTCCTTTTTGAATGTGTAGTTCTCACTTCATAGTTAATATATTTTTAATATATAAGATAAAGGTGGACTTTAGCCACATGTCTGGAAATTATGAAATATATTCGAGTTCAAGTCTTTATAGCAGGCTTTAGAGCTTTTATGAAATTAGTTGGAAAAAATACATACTGCTTTCTGTAGATAATTAATGTAGTGAAAAGCCTATGCTAGTCTGCTCTGGCTGTATAAAGGATACCATAGACCAGGTGGCTTAAACAACAGAAAATTATTTTCTTTTTAAAAAAAAATTTTTTTTAATGTTTTTGTTTATTTTTGAGACAGAGAGAGACAGAGCATGAGCAGGGGAGGGGCAGAGAGACAGGGAGACACAGAATCCAAAGCAGGTTCCAGGCTCTGAGCTGTCAGCACAGAGCCTGATGCAGGGCTTGAACCCACAAATGTGAGATCATGACCTGAGCCAAAGTTGGAGGCTTAACCGACTTAGCCACCCAGGTGCCCCCAGAAAATTATTTTCTTACCATTCTGTAGTCTGTAAAACCCAAGGTCAAGTCGGCAGTGTTTGGTTTTTGGTGAGAGCTCTCCTCCTGGCTTGCAGATGACTGCCTTCTTGCTGTGTCCTCACATGGCCTTTCATCTGAGTGCCAGGAGAGAGAGGATATTGAGCTTTCTGATGTGTCTTTTTGTAAGGGCTCCACCATTCTGACCTCATTTGTCACATTAGGGGTTAAGGCTTCAACATATGCATTTTGGGGGACAAAAACATTCAGTCCATAATAGGAACCTAGACTCAGCTATAGGACTATGGGTTCTTTTAGACCCAGTGCTGCTCCTTAATAGCCAGGTGATTTCAGGCAGTGCACTTAACTGCCCAGTTTCTTCACTTGTAATATATTGGATTATCATAGTGCCCTGTTTGCTTCATGGGGTTCCTGTAACTATTTAATAAAATAATGTTTAATAATTTATAATAATAATAATGTGCATTTAATAATATATTTAATTGTAAGTAATTAAAGAATTCTACATATGTGAGAGATGGTAATTATTAACTCTCCAAATATAAGGCCATCTTGACAGTAATAAAGTATTAAAATCAGAGAAGTTAACAAACATATTCTCTAGAACACTAGGGCTTTTCTTGTAAAAAGAAGTATTGCTTATTATTCTGTAATATATGTGCTTATCAGTTGGACTTATGGACTAAAATAAAATATATAGACTCACATTCTGATCATAGAAAAATTTAATTTAGGTGAAGAGAGTATTAATTTATTGAATTATCAGCTCAGAATATAAGATTGCTTATTTGCTGGAGTTGAGAAGGAAGTTTTATTTCCATTACTATGTTATACATTGTACTTCAATAATATAAATTTTGGGACACTGAGTGGCTCACTCAGTTGGTTAAGAGTCCAGCTCTTGACTTTGGCTCAGGTCATGATCTCACAGTTAATGTGTTCAAGCCCTGCATTGGGCTGTCTCCCCCTCTCTCTTCCACTTCCCAACTAGTGCTCTCTTTCTGTCTCAAAATAAATAAATAAACTTTAAAAAAACCTTAAAAGAATATGGTAAATTTTAATTATAACTTAAAAAATTGAATTAAAATGGGCCTTTGCTGTTATCCTTGCAAAAACTCTATTTCCATATATTTAAAAGAGGAAAAATAATATCTTGAGCCCTTTGGAAGAAAGGCACTCTGTAGAATTCCAAGATTTGGGGGCACCTGGGTGGCTCAGTAGGTTAAGCGTTTGAGTCTTGATTTTGGCTCAGGTTATGATCTTACCCTTTGGGACCTCAGGCCCTCCATCAGGCCTGCTTTGGACTCTTTCTCTCTCCCCCTTCCACTTCCCCCTGTGCGTGAGCCCTCCCTATCTGTCTTTCAAAATAAATAAACATTAAAAAAAACTTAAAAAAAAAAAGAATTCCAAGATTTTATTGAATGCTCTATAATATAGTCTTTATCAACACATTTATAAAGTGCTAGCATAAAATTTTCAGTCTTAATTTGAAGTGCTAATCTAGTTATGTGAGAAATATTTTGTTAATTGAAACTTTAGATTTAATCTCCATTTTTCTTAATACAATTTGTGGATTTGTTGAATCCTCTAAATGCCTCTTTTGAGATGTTAATCAGATGTTAATTTCCTTAAAGGATCTCCAAATTTTAAATGATAACCAATCCAATGCAAGAATGTTAAAGTTGTTACAAGGTTTCATAAGGCCTTTTGTCACAAATGTGGCTAAGTATAAAAATAGACGGCAAGATTTATCTTAACATTTTGAGGTTGTGCTCGCTTCGGCAGCACATATACTAAAAACATTTTGAGGTTAAAAAAAAAAAGTTGCCAAGTCTTTAGACGTATTTTAAATGTGTATAGCTTTTACATAATATTAAGCAATCTTTTTGGTTTATCTTCTAGTGAACCTAGTGTCCATTTTTAGGTAAACAGAGAGGATTTCCTAAGCATCTCTCTCTGTGTAAACATACTCACTAGTGTGTAGAAGAAGCATAATGATGGGACAACTATTTACTACTAGATTTTGCTAATTCTTATGTATATTATCCCTGTTGTGAGTGACTCCTCTGTGGAGAAAACTGATAGTATCACTTATAAATTACTGTAGGTTATGTTGTTGTTGGGGTTTTTTTGGTGGGTGGGGAGAGAAGTAAAATAAGATCATTTATTTAGACAGCATGGATTCTCTCTGTAAACAAAACTAGCGCTCTCCTAGATTTGGAGTGGCCCCTGAGATTTTATTTCTTAGTTACAGTGATTATTGAACAGCGCTATAGAATTCACATGTGTTTTGCTTAACTGAATTTACTTTTTATACAAAACATTTTCTGAGTCAAATAATACCAACCAATAAATACCAACTTTTCATCCTGGATGAAATTTGGAAAGTTATATGAGAAGCTTTATAATTATATAATATAAATATATAATTCTATTAGTTGGAAGAATATTCAGACATAGATTGGAAAAGATGAGACATTTATTTTGTGAATTTTAATATTGCATATTTATTTATTTATCTATATAACATTTGTGGTACTCCTTGTCCCAAAGAAGGAATTCAGATGGCTAAATTTTGTTAAACAGTTAATGCAGATATTCTGGTGACCTCTAAAATTTAATAAGAATAAATCATGTGTATATTTCAGATGTATGAATCAATTGTTTTAGTCAGTGTTTTCTTTTGAGCTTCTCAGAGTACAGCTTATTTTAGGAAAGCTTTATAGTTTTCCGAGGAAAAGTTGTTATTATATATTCAAATCACTCTTGTCTGGAAGACTTGTAATAGATTTCTGGTGATTATGATATTCTGATGTGAAAACTTTCCTCCTTTAGATTTATTTAAAAATGTTTATGATATTTTTGGAAAAAATACTAATTGTCATTTTTTTCTCTCACAGCTTCATATCCTCCAATTCAGCCTCATCCTCTAATAAAACATCAGCAAATTCCTCTTCATTCACCACCTCCCAAGGTTTCCCATCATCAGCTGATATTACAACAGCAGCAACAGCAAATTCAGCCAATCACACTTCAAAATCCAACTCAAGACCCACCCCCATCCCAGCACTGTATGCCACTCCAAAACCATGGCCTTCCTCCAGCACCTGCTAATGCCCAGTCACAGCATTGTTCACCGATTCAGAGCCATCCCCCTCCTTTAACCATGTCTCCTAGCCAGTCACAGTCGGCACAGCAGTCTGTAGTGGTGTCTCCTCCACCGCCTCATTCACCAAGTCAGTCTCCTACTATAATTATTCATCCACAAGCGCTTATTCAGCCACACCCTCTTGTGTCATCGGCTCTCCAGCCAGGGCCAAACCTGCAGCAATCCACTGCTAATCAGGTGCAACCGACAGCACAGCTGAATCTTCCATCCCATCTTCCACTTCCAGCTTCCCCTGTTGTACACATTGGCCCAGTTCAGCAGTCCGCTTTGGTGTCCCCAGGTCAGCCGATTGTGTCTCCAACATCACACCAGCAATATTCAACCCTGCAGTCCTCTCCAATCCCAATTGCAACCCCTCCGCAGATGTCGACATCTCCTCCAGCTCAGATTCCACCTCTGCCCTTGCAGTCTATGCAGTCTTTACAAGTGCAGCCTGAAATTCTATCCCAGGGCCAGGTTTTGGTACAGAATGCTTTGGTGTCAGAAGAGGAGCTTCCAGCTGCAGAAGCTTTGGTCCAGTTGCCATTTCAGACTCTTCCTCCTCCACAGACTGTTGCGGTAAACCTACAAGTACAACCACCAGCACCTGTTGATCCACCAGTGGTAAGCCCTTGGAAGCTCTTTGACTTTCTTGCTGAACTGAGAGTAAAAACTTTTTTCCCACATTATGTTATGTTGCTAGAACTAAATGCCTATGAATTTAAAAAGCTTGAAATTTCCATCTGTCAGTGTCTGACAAACATGCTATATGGGCAAGAAAAAAATGCCATTTGTTGTAGTATGGTTGCATGCTTGATAATTTGTGATGGTTATTAAAGTCCCTCGTTAATTTTATTACTATTTAAACAAATCCATCTGCTATCTTTACAGAGTTGATTTTTTTTCCCCAAGGGAATGCATTTGAACCAGTGTCATCTGCACAAAGTTTTTTCTCTTAAGGTGATTATCCTTCATAGATCCCTTCTGTTGGCTTGTATGTTCTTAAACGTATGGTTTATCTACCTGACCTTTTTAGTTGTGTGTATTCTGAAGTCCTGGGCCTTTAGGGGCTTTGGTTTCAAGGTGGAGGTATGCTTGTATGATGTAATTTTTGGGTAAGATTATATTTTGTAATTCAGTGTTGTAAGAAAACATCTACCCTAGGAAAGAATCTAAGTTTGCAAAAAACATTAACTGTAAACCATCTTTTAGAATTAAAAACTTGTGATTTTTAAATTTCTATGAAGGAAAAATATATATTTAAAATTTCTCATTTAAAAGCTAAAAAAACTGAGTGGATGAATTGAATACTAAAGATGAAAAAAATCCATTGGAGGAGTCAAAGTTTTGAATAATTGAGATCGTGGTGAAATTTATCAGAATAAACCTCCAGCAGTGGTACATGTTGCCTAGAAAATTATCTTGGAGAATTTTTTAAATATTCTCTAAAAGACTGTTTAAATTTATAAAATGATTTATAAAAGTTGAAGTAAGATCACTAAATGTTTAGGTAGAATGATCAAATTCATAATTAGTTTATGGCTGAAGAAAACAATCTTCCCAAAGGAGGTTTTGTATTTAACCTCCCTGAAGAGATTTTATCACTTAAAAATTAATCATTACTAATTCAGAAAGGAAAGGAGTTTCAAATTCTGTTCCTCAATGGGAAACATTTTGGTTCACAGGATGCAAATTTATAGATTCTTTATTCTTGTCATCCTCACTGATGTTTATATGCATAAAGAGATTGAATTCCACTTCTGATTTATTTATGTTTTTTTTTTTAAAAACAATTTGACAGATGAGTGCCTCACTAGCTTAGTTAGAAGAGCATGCAGCTCTTAATCTTGGGAGTCGTGAGGTCAAGCCCTGTGTTGGATGTAGAGAGTACTAAAAAAAATTAATAAAAATAACTTGACAGAAATAATAATAGGCATATAGAAATAAGTTTGTCATTCAGTTATCATGTCTGTATATCTTTTAGATTTTTGAATAACTTATAGTGGATATTGTAACATAAAAATACAGGCTTCAAAGTGTACAGTAATTTCAAAGATGTCAAATTTAAATTTATATTCTTTCTGGTTCAGTGGGTTTTAACAAGTAAAAAGTAAAATTTCTTTATATGCCTACTGTTTTTCTAATTATTTTTGTTAGAGAAACTTTGGGATAGAAATATCAGGGGCGCGTGGGTGGCTCAGTCAGTTGATACCATAGTTTGTGGATTTGAGCCCCATGTCGGGCTCTGTGCTGACAGCTCAGAGCCTGGAGCCTGCTTTGGATTCTGTGTCTCCTTTCTCTGCCCCTCCCCTCCTCGTGCTCTCTCTCTCTTTCAAAAATGAATAAACATTAAAAAAAATTTTTTTAAAAGAAATATCAACACAGTAAGATATTTTTAAAAAAATTATAAATGCTCATTTTGGAGAGAGAGCATGCACGAGAGGGAGGGAGGAAAAAAGAGGGAGACAGAGGATCTGAAACGAACTTTGTGCTGATAGCAGAGAGCTTGTGTGGGGCTCGAACTCACAAACCCTGAGATCATGACCTGAGCTGAAGTTGGATGTTTAATGGACTGAGCCACACAGGCACCCCTAATAAGACCGTAAAGCTAAATATTTAAGGTCTTATTTTGTTACTTCTTGATCTGCACTCTTAAAAATAATTTTTTGGGGCACCAAAGATTGAGCCTGGGTGGCTCAGGCAGTTAAGTGTCCAAGTCTGGCTCAGGTCATGATCTCATGGTGTGTGAGTTCAAGCCCCACATCAGACTCTAACAGTTCAGAGCCTGGAGCCTGCTTCAGATCCTGTGTCTCTCTCTCTCTCTGCCCTCACCTGCTTGTGTTCTCTCTTCTCTCCCTCTCAAAAATAAAAATAAACATTAAAATTTTTTAATAATAATTTTTAAAAATGTATGTTCTCATTTTGGGAAGTTTATTCCCCCCATGAAAATAGGAACTTTTTCTGCTATCACTGGTGTGGTCATATTCACTATAGATGTTCCTATGTTATCTTATTTTTTATCTTTCTCAAACAAGGATAAACTTATTAAATTACTATGTTTTTCTTTTATTACCTTTGATCAAATCTAATTTTTTTATCAAATCACATTTTTTTGTGAATTACACATTTCTTCAGTTTCCTGCCTGTTTCAGATATTTAAAGATAGCAATATATATTTATTTCTTAAGAGATGTGACAATTTGAAAGATAAGTATGAATATCTAAGTTAAATCAGGGTATTTAAAAAAAAATTTTATTTTAGAGAGATTGTGGGGGAGAGGGAGAGGGGAAAAGAGAGAATCCCAAGCAGGCTCCACACCCAGTGCCGAGCCTGATGTCAAGCTTGATCCCATCTGGGTTCATGACATGAGCTGAAATCAAGAGTCAGACAACCAACTGAACCACCCAGGCACCCCCATCAATGTATTTTTTAAAAATATATATTATAAAAGATACATTTATGAAACTAAACTTTTCGATCGATGTATGGGTATGATAAGTAAGATATGTGAGAATAGATAATTTAGAACCAATAAATGTCCCACAGTTTATTTAGGAAAAGGAGACAGATGGGACTAATGTACTTTATTGAGGTAAGTTTGGCAGTCATTGCTAGTTTTAGAATAGCTGTAATTACAGGCTAAGCAGAAATCATGTTGTGGAGTTTCCTAATCTTGTGAGTAAAACATCACTTCTTTGCCATATTCAGTATTTTTAGTTGTTGCACTTAGATTTTTTATGCTAATGGTGCCAGATGTCTGTGATAGATCTGTTTTTGCCTCTGTGTTTTATTAAATTATTTTGCCTTTACATAGCAGATTTGGAAGAAAGTATGTGTAGTTAGACTTATCTATAAAGAATGAAAATTATTTTATAATATTCTTTGATAGATTATTTCAGAATATGCTATTTATGTTAGGACTCTTTATGCTTTCAAATGCTTTCAGTATTTTTAAAAAATCAGAGTTCTTTGCATGATTAGAATTTGTGTCAGCATTAATATTAGAGAATTTCAGCATTTTAAGAAAATGTCTAATAAACGAATACTACACAGGTATACCTGAACTGGTTGATAAAACCATACTTTCTAATTACCTCTGATCAATATCCCTGCCACTGTCAAATTAAGGTAATACTATGCCAGATGCCCCTCGTCAGAAGATTTTATTCTTCCCTTTAACCCCCAGGACATTTCTTTTGGACGACTTTCCCTGTATGGGACATTATCATCATCAAAAAAAAAATTATGTAAAAAGATACTGGCAGCTGTCCATTATTGTACTGTACAATAATGAACAACTGCTTTCACTTCTGAGGACCCAGACCTGAGGCAAGGAATCTCTCTTGGTGAAACAAGTTTCCAGATGCAGGGTTGGGAGCAAATAACTTTAAAAAATGTAGCCTATTTAGTTGATTCACATCCCAGTTCTGGATGTCATATTTGGTATAAAATTAAAATTTTATTTTTTTAGGGTTTTTAAATTTTTCAAAAGAAAAGATATTTTCTCCTCCTCCTCCTTCTTCTTCTTCTTCTTTTTTTTTTTTTTTTTAAAGATATTTTATTCCTAGGTGGGTCAGTTGTTTAAACATCTGACTTTGGTTCAGGTCATGATCTCACCATTTGTGAGTTTGTGCCCTGCATCAGGTAAGCTCGAGCCCCACTTTAGGCTCTGTGCTGTCAGCATGGGATTCTCATTCGCTCTCTCCCCCCCTCCCCCTCTGCTTCTCCCTCACTTTCCCGCCCCCACTCTCTCTCAGGGGAAAAAATAATTATTCTTAGAGGCTTTAGAAGTTAGGTGTTTTGGGTTTTTTTTTAATTTTAGGTTTTTTTTAAGTTTATTTATTTATTTTGAGAGACAGCATGAGCGGGGGAGAGGCAGAGAGAGAGGGAAAGAAGAATCCCAAGCAAGCAGGCTCTGCACTAACAGTGCATGACACATGGCTTGAACAGATGCATGGCTTGATCTCATGAACCATGAGATCATGACCTGAGCTGAAATCAAAAGTCAGACACTTAAATGACTGAACCACCCAGGTACCCCTAGTTGTTTTTTTTTTAAACTGTATTTCTGTTAGCTATGCCTTTGTAAATGAAACTTGATAGTCCCTTTTATAACACATGGCTTATGCTGGTTTTAGAAATCTTGATCATTTTTATATTGACCAAGATACACTTCATATCACCAGGCTTTTTCAGTAGTTTGATTAAAAATACATACAGTGTAAAAAATATATATAGTATTAGATATCACTTGAAGTTTTTTTGTGAATGTTGAAAGGTTTTTTGTTTTAACATTTATTATAAATATTAATCAGTTTAAGTTAAGTAATCTTAAAAACTTACAACCTTTGCAAATTTAAGTAATAAGTGTATATAAAAGAAAGGAACTGTTTTTGTGATTTTGTTTTTAGTAACTTACCATCTTTCAGAAATAATGGTTAAATAGGGGCGCCTGGATGGCTCATTGGTTGAGTCTCCATCTTTGGCTTTTAGGTCATGATCTCACAGTTCGTGGGTTCAAGCCCCATGTTGGGCTCTGTGCTGCTGCCTCAGAGCCTGAAGCCTGCTTCAGATTCTGTGTCTCTCTCTCTCTGCTCCTCCCCCGCTCATGCTCTGTCTCTATCTTTCTCAAAAATAAACGTTAAATTTAAAAAGTTTAAAAAGCTAATGATTAAATAATGATGACAAAATAGTCTAGAAGTGGACTTTGAAAACTCAGCCTTAAGTTTAATGAAAAATTAGTTATTTTTAGTTACATAGTACCTTCTCAGATTGAGATTTTAAGTATATTCTTTAGCATTGGATTACAAAGATTAAGTTAAAAAATTAAAAACTTTGTATAAAGCAGTATTAAAGAACTAAAAATAACATGTCACATGGCTTAGGAGGGGTGGGTGTGGGTGAGTATTAATTTAAAGACTTATATTTTCTGTTTACCTGATATTAGCTTATAAAAATTCATTAGATTCTTGAGTAGATCAGAAGATTAAAGAATTAAAGATATAATTGCATGCCTTTTTTGTATGTTTTCAGATGTTACTTTTCATAATGTAATCTTTAATTCACATAAATATAATAAAGAAGAACCTGAGGTGTAGTCCTTTAAGCAGTTCCTGATATATTATGTGCCATTTTGGAGAATTACTTAATGTATTTTTGGAAAATGCTAGTATTTATTTTGATTTATGACAGTTGGAAGTTAATAGAAACAATAGCAAATTCCCCAATCAGTTATTGAATATATAAGTTCAAAATATTTTTTTTAATTCTCAAAATTAAGAATATGTCTTGACTTGACTGTCACCTTTTGGGAAACTTTAGTAATTTGTAGCATAGATACTGATCCGCAACTTGCTTACAGTGAAATATTTTCAAGCATTATGAAAAATCTCTGTTTTAAAGTTTTCTTTTCAACCTGTTAAATATTAATTTTGCCTTTTTAAAATTTAAAACACTTAGAATTTATTTTTTCAATTAAGTTAAGAACACCTTAGTAAATATATTTTTAGAAACTTTTTAAGGCAGTGTGGTTTGTCGTTGTAGGTTTATCAAGTAGAAGATGTGTGTGAAGAAGAAATGCCAGAAGAGTCAGATGAATGTGTTCGGATGGACAGAACGCCACCGCCACCCACACTGTCTCCAGCAGCTATAACTGTGGGGAGAGAAGATTTGACTTCTGAACATCCTTTGTTAGGTGAGGAAATACCTAAATTTGGGGAAATTTTCTACTACGTAAATGTTAGTAATATAAAGTTGAGTAAAGTAAAATTGTGAAGTGTAATAAAGTAAGGTTAGTAAAGTCCCCCAACCCCCTCCACTGGAGATGGTATTAAACTAATTTGTTATGTAACTAATTACAGCAAAGTGTCATAGAATTCAAGATGTTCTTTTTTTTATGAGAAACAAAATGATGAGGAATTGTTTAAAGTGTGAAAAACATACTTTAGCCTTCTAATTTTTAGTGGTTTGTATAGATATGTTTTATATGCCCATTCAGGTTCATTGGTCAGAAGCTATTTCTAAGCTTAAAAATTAGGGTAAATCAAAGTTCTGTTAAATGATTTCAGTTATGTTTTCTAGAAATCACAAAGCATTCTGAGTCATATCTAACATTCCTCGTAATTGCTTGTGATCCAGGCTTAGTATGTTTTTAAAAGTGTTCTTTTCCCCCAAACAGTTCTTAAATTAAGCCTCACTAATTCTTATTAGAGATATGATTAAAAAATCGTTGGCCTTAAGCATTTAAATTTTTATTCACTACTTTAGTGCTACTCATGAGGTCAAGTAAATCTTCTAGATGCTCCTCCTCATGATATTAAAGTGACTGTAAATCCTAGGTCTTTTACAACATTACATTTACAACAATCCTAGGTATTTTAAAACGTTTGCTAAAATAAAACTCAAAGCCCTGCGTCTAGGTCTTAAAAAAAAATGCATCCATGTTAGATTTTAATTAACTTCTCTATGTATCTATTTAATAAAAGCTTTTCTTTTTTTTTTCTTTTTAAAATAACTTTTTTTTAAGTAAACTCTACCTCCAACATGGGGCTCAGAGTCATGACCCCAAAATCAAGAGCTGCATGCTCTACCAACTGAGCCATCCAGGTGCCCCCATGTTAGACCTTTAAAAACTATGAAGGTTTAATTAGACCAGGGTTGGCAAACTATAGCTCCTGCTTTAAATCTTTTCTGCGGTCTGATTTTGCATGGCCCATGAGCTGAGGATAGTTTTAAAAGTTTTAAGTGGTTGAAAAAAATCAAAAGAAGAGTAATATTTCATACCATGTGAAATTATACAGACTTCAAATTTCATTGTCCATAAGTAAAATTCTATACAACGCAGCTACATTCATTTATTCAAATATTATCTATGTTTACTTTTGTATTCCTGTGGCAAAGAGTAGTTGCAGAGCCCATATGGTTCTTTACAGAAAGCTTGATCCAGATAATACTCATCTTGATTCAGTCTTCCTTGTAAGTATTCAGTCCTCTTGAATATCTCGGGACTCTTGTGATTATTTATAGTAAATAAGAACCCCTACGACAGGTACAGACACAGATTGTAATAGGACACTGACTTTGCTACCAGAGATACTCTTGCCGTCCCTTTGTTTCAAGTGTGCCACAACTCCAACCCTTCCCTTCTCTCCAGATTTTATTCTCTTACTATCCATGAGAATCTCTGGAAAGCACAAAAGGGGAGAAATCGGTTTTTCCAACATTTTCTCCCACCTGGAAAACAGAAAATGTTTAGTCAATAAAATCATATAAAATATTTAAGACAAGTTTAATAGTATTGCCTTTGTTTATTCAAAGAAATACCACAAAAAAATAGATTTAGGGATATCTAACGATAGTATTAAATCTTTGTAGTTCTTTACACTGAAAATGGATTTAATGTTGCTGCACATTTCCTGGAGTTTGATTTAAAGACAGAAGTAAAAGTTTAATTGGATACTAGCCTTACATTGTGACTGTGATTGAACTACCTAAAAAGCATTACTCATGGTAACACAAAAAAAGTTTAAACACTTTTGAAATACCAGAACACAAGCACAGCTTCATATTTTTTTCCTCAGGCACACAGTTCAAGATCCTGTCACTCTTTTTCCTCTGGCTGAATTGTCTAGGTACAGTGTAGAGAATCTTCCTCTAATTTACTTCATACCCACTACTCCTCTGTAGTGTATATGAGGGGGCAAAGCAAGCACAGGTTGGTTTTTAGAATAGCTCTCAGCAAATCAAAAAATAAGCTAACCTGCAAAAATAGAGGGATTTGTTTCCATGCAGTATGCAGTTTTCATAAATCTCTAAAAATTCCTTAAAAGTAAAAAGCATCCATTAGAAAAGGTAGAAAAAGCTCATTGATCTTGTTCAGAAAATGAGACTAATAAGCAGAGCGGCTTGTGGCAAAGTTCTATTACTTGTGTTTTCTCTCACAGTTATCTTAAATCTAGAGAATGTAATAATTCTTTCTACTATAATATGTCAGTGTTTCTCACATGCAAATAATAGGTATTAGCTTCTTCAAAAAGTCAGTAACTTACAACTCTGTTTTTAACAGCACTTAGGACTCTAAGATTGGCGCATTTATACGTATGATCTAGAAATTAACTGGAGCATATACCAATATTTTCTGAATAAACCAAATTATACTTAATGCAGCTTTATATTTCTAAAGTAACAAAATATCTGTAAATCTGTAAGGGACATTAACATTTTATCTTATTTTTTTAGGGATTTGTATTTTCCTCCAAACACAAAACATGGCTTTCAGTCCCACTTTTCAAATTTTATAATTTCTTATTCCTTTTATTCTAGGAGTAAATGTGAAGATTTGGTAATGTGGGATAGAATTTTTCTGGAGTTCCTCAGTTTCATAATGGATGCATATAATAATACTGTGTGTTCTCTGAAATCAGTAGCATTTTCTGTTGAGTTTCTTGTTTAGATTTTGCTGAAGAATTGTGTAATTTTAAACTGGTTTTCCAGTTCAGTTTATCTTGGTGGATTATTTGGTGGAACTAGGTTAATAAATGGTTTATAATAATACTGCTGTGATCAGATATATGATATTAATCACATTGATATTCCTGAGTGTGAATTGTTAGCTTTTCCATTTCTGAGATTATACAGATGATCATTACACTATTTTGTTAGCTGAAATTTTTGTTCTTTAGGGATTCCTATTCTTTTTCTCTACCAAACTGGGCTATATTTTGAGCATCTTTGATAGTGATGTCAACCCTTTTCATACTGATGATGGAGAGGCATTACCATAGCATTAATAACTGTCTCAAGAACTGATTTCCTGGGTTAATATCCCACCAACTCCATAACTTAATTAGTTGTGTGCCCTTTGCCAAGTTTCTTCATCTTTTTGTTTCTCTTGGGCTAGTTTCGAGGATTAGATGAATTACAAGCTATGAGGCATTTACACAGTACTTGGCATGTAAGTGCTTAGTAAATCATACTATACATACTTTGCGCATGTGCTGCTTTTTTTGTTGTTGTCGTTATTTTTCTTGGACCTCTGTAGTCACTGCTATGTTTAGCTTTCAGCCGGTTCTATTTTTCTGTTTAATACAGTCTGTAAAGGTTTGATGCTATCGTATGGCTAGATAGAGTCTCTCTCATAGGCTGTGGGATTTATCTTAATGTAGCCTTCAGAGTTTGAAGGGGAGGAATCACAGTGATCCAGCCCAATATTTCACAGTTGCCTGGTACTAAAGTGTTCCTTCAAATTGATACACAGTGCCTCTGAAGAGTTGTGTAAAAAAAAAAAAAAGTGTACATGGATTTGGATTAGCCTTACTGCTTGAAATAAAGGTGATGGATGCTGTGTACTCTTTTAAAAATCTCTACATACTCTATGGATTTTATGATCCTTTTTTATTTAAGTGTACTTTCAGAGTACTCCCCACCTACCCACCCCACTCATGCCATCTGGAATATATAAACAGAAACATAGGGAATTTAATATCTGTTTAGCTTAAAATTTGTTAAAACAACAACAGTTTTCATATTCTTAAATTGACATTCTAAAACATTTTTGTATTTCATGGGTCAGTTCTTTGTAACTAAGGTTGGAATGATAACTTTTAGCAAGTTACCCCTTCTGTAAAGTGAGGATAATAGCTTTTATCTCATGAGATTAAATGAGATAAAATATAAAGTTCTTAGAATGGTGTTTTAAAGCATTAGATCTTAACTATTATTGTTAATAATGTTTATTCTTGAATTTTTTCATATTTGCCTGTACAGAATGATAAAGCTAAAAAAAAAAATGACTTTTCTCTTTCAGAGCAAGTGGAATTACCTGCTGTGGCATCAGTCAGTGCTTCAGTAATCAAATCTCCATCAGATCCTTCCCATGTTTCTGTTCCTCCACCTCCACTCTTACTTCCAGCTGCTACCACAAGGAGTAATAGTACATCTGTACCCAGTAGCATTCCCAGTATAGAAAACAAACCTCCACAGGCTATTGTTAAGCCACAGATTTTAACCCATGTTATTGAAGGCTTTGTGATTCAGGAGGGATTGGAACCATTTCCTGTAAGTAGTAAGCAAATTTGTATTTTTTTAAAATTATTTATGTATTATTTTTAAATGTATATTGTTCTTTAATAAACTGCTTATATTTTTATTTCAAAAAAGTTGTTGAGGTGCCTGGGTGGCTCTACCGGTTGAGCATCTGACTTTGGCTCAGGTCATGATCTCATGGTCTATGAGTTCAAACTCCATGTCAGTTTCTGTTCTGACAGCTCAGAGCCTGCAACGTTCTTCGGATTCTGTGTATCCCTCTTTCTCCCCCTCCCCAACTTGTGTGCATGCTCTCTCTGTCACAGAAATAAACAGTAAAAAAAAAAAGTTGCCTATCTCTTGCCTAGAACTTCTCTCTATATATATTCTTTATATATTTCCAAATGTATTTCTAGAATTTTTATGCTAGCTATATATAAACTAAGAAAATTTTCAGGATATTAAGGATATCAATTTTATAATTTGTAGAGAAAGATAGTTGGAAGTTTATTCTACTGGAATAAATTTTTAATTTTTTTCTAAGGGGACTGAAATTACACCAAAGGTGCCTTATTTTTCTAAGATGGTGTTTCTTTCTCTCTCTTGGTTTTTTGAAGCTTTTCATTCTTTTTATTTTTTTTCCTTAAATTTGTTTTGAGAGAGAGAAAGCAAGTGGGGAAGGGGCAGAGAAAAAAAAGAGGGAGAGATTGAATCTCAAGCAGGCTCTGCACTGGGGCTCGATCCCACAAACCATGAGATCATGACGTGAGCTGAGATTAAGAGTCAGATGCTTAACTGACTGAGCCATGCAGGCTCCTAAAATAGTGTTTCTTATATAATGTGATTACTTTGTGAACTTTAACTTGAGTGCATAAGGTAATAACTTCCCAGTGACCTAATATTTCTGAAGTTATCCAGTTGATGGTTTATAATTAGCAAATAGATATTCTCATTCTTAAGTCTCTGCCTTCAGTCATATTTTAAAAATGTTTTAAAATCTTCAAGGAGCGCCTGGGTGGCTCAGTAGGTTGGGCATCTGACTTCGGCTCAGGTCATGATCTCATGGTGCCTCTGTGGGTTTGAGCCCCACGTCAGGCTCTCTACTGACAGCTCAGATCCTGGAGACTGTTTCGGATTCTGTGTCTCCCTCTGTCTCTGCCCTTCCCCTACTCACACTCTGTCTTTCTCTTAAAAAATAAGCAAACATTAATTAATTAATAAGTAAATAAATAAAATCTATAAATAAATAAATAAAATCTTCACTTCAAAATGGAGGTGCCGTTCCTTGAGCCTCTTTCCGATTCTGTATCTCCCTGTCTCTGCCCTTCCCCTGCTTACACTGTGTCTCTCTCTCAAATAAACAAAAATAAACATTCATAAATACATACATACATAAAATCTTCACTTAAAAATGGAGGTGCTGTTTCTGTCACTAAAAGTCTTACAATTTGAGACTAGCTATATGTAATTTACATGTTAATATCTAGAGAAGAACATTATTCTTAGAAATTAAAGACAAGTGGCCAAAGTCAAAGACAGATAAAACAAGGGAACAAAATAACTCATTTCAAAGGCCTTTGAATCATCTGGTTTTTTAGATTTATGGTTGGTGAAGATCTTGCATTGCGATGGTGGGTTGCCTCCTCATCTGCCTTTGTTTTCAGTCAACTGTGTATTAAATATGGATCTCCTATAGGAAAGCTGATAGTGGAACAACAGTCTTTGTTCCCTGTTCCTCAGGATTTGGATCCTGGCAGTTCTGTGTACTGTAACTTTTGTTAAGTCACCCAACTGTTTTGGTCTTCATTTTTGTTCATCTAGCAAATGGAGATGGTACTTTGCTTTTAGGGTCGTTGTGAGGATTAAATGTGCGTAAATTGTTATGTGCAGTGCCTGGCACTTAATACCCATAGCTGCTATTATTAATAATTACTAGTGTCAACCATAACTTTTTTTTTTCCTGGTTACAAAAGTAATGACATTATTTTAAATGGAAAATATGGGAAATGTACACAGCAAATAATCCTCAGTAATACCACAATGTGTATTGTTTTATATATTTCATATTATCAAGGTGGTCATATATATAGTTCTGCATCTGTCACATAGTATATTTAGAGTATTTGTTTTCTAATATTAATGGTACTTTAGGACTATTTTGAAAGGTTACATAATACTCCACTTTATGAACAACCATAATTTATGTAATTTTTCCATTATTGTTGGGCATTTTAGGTTTCTATTATTTAATAATTTCTTTGGCACAGTGGGGTGCCTGAGTGGCTCAGTCAGTTAAGTATTTGACTCTTGATTTTGGCTCAGGTCATGATCTCACAGGTCTTGAGATCGAGCTCCAGGTCAGGCTTTACGCTGACAGTGCAGAGCCTGCTTGGGATATTCTCTCTCACTCTCTCTGCCCCTCCCCTGCTGTGTGTGCTCTCTCTCAAAATAAATAAAAAGTAAACAGTAATAATTTCTTTAGGATGAATTCCTAAAAGTACAGATAGTGGATCACATTACATATGTACTCATAAGACTCCATAAGAAGACTCACGGTATATATTGCTAAATTGTTTTCTGGAATGATTATTTAAATATATGCACACACCAGAAGTGTAAAGTCTTAGTAGCACTGCCTATTACAGTTTCTTCAGTAATACCTTTTGTAAATTTTACTTGAGGCATAATGTATATACTAACTGAAATTAACAAAATTTAAAAGTTCATGGGTGATTATTTTCTATAGTTAAATGTAGAATTTATAGTAAGTCTTCATTCACCGTCTGGCAGATACTCAAGACTTAGCGAGCATTCTTAAATAAAAATAGGAGGTTCTGTTTCAGATGAGCTGAAAGTTCACTAGCAAGTCAGTATTGGTTTTGGTCTGGATTGTTTTTGCTGAAAATAAGTATTCATGACTTAACCAAGTATATTGAATATAAGTGAATATTTTGTTGTTTATTTTAATGTTAATATTTGAGGATTTTTTCTATGTCTTATGATTATAGTGGATTAGGTTGCTGGACTAGAAGTCAGGAGACTGAGTTCTAGTCCTGATTCTGCTTTTGTAAAGAAATCACCCAAACACTTTCAACATTAGTTCTCTTGCTTTTTAAAAAAATATTTATTAGAGCATACGCACACATATGCGAGCGTGGGGGTGGGGGAGAGGCAGAGAGAGGGAGAGTGAGATGCAGAGAGAGAGAATCCCAAGCAGGCTCTTTTGCTCTGAGTGGAGCCCAATGCAGGACTCAGTCTCACAAACCATGAGATCATGACCTGAGCCAAAATCGAGAGTCTGATGCTTAACCACCTGAGCCACCAGGTGCCCTGTAGTTCTCTTATTTGTAAAATGCATACAACAGTGATCTATCCTAAGGAGACAGCCCTTCAAGTAAAAAGTTTTGTACGTAAAGAATTTTAAAAGTTGTTGAAGAAAAAAAAATAGGTTGATGATACTGGCTGATCAAAATTTATTACATATCTTTAAAGACATTAAAAAATTGTTTTTAATGTTTATTTTTGAGACACAGAGTGCAAGCTGGGAAAGGGCAGAGAGGGAAGAAGACAGGATCTGAAGCAGGCTCCATGCTGATAGCAGAGAGCGCAATGTGAGGCTCAAACTCACGAACCGTGAGATCATGACCTGACCTGAAGTCAGATGCTTAGCTGACTGAGCCACCCAAGGTGCCCCAAAGACCTTTTTAAAACTACTTGCCTAAACTAGGACACTAGGTTCCATTTGACAGATTTTGAAGCATCCATATTGCTAATGACTTGAAATACAAACTGTTAATGTCCAGGTTGCCTAAGATTTTCTTAAGGAATAAAGCACTTAATGAATGGACCTGATCGGTTGAACAAGTAAATTATCACAGTTACTATTCATTTTAATAGGTTTTTTAACTAAGTTTTTTCTTCTTAAGATTTTTTTTATTTTTTTAAATATTTATTATTGAGACAGAAACACAGCATGAGTGGGGAGGGGCAGGGAGCGAGGGAGACACAGAATCTGAGGCAGGCTCCAGGCTCTGAGCTGGCAGCACAGAGCCCAGCGTGGGGCTCGAACCCATGAACTGTGAGATCATGACCCAAGCCGAAGTCAGACGCTCAATCGACTGAACCGTCCAGTCACCCCATAAAGTTTGTTTTGAGAGAGAGAGAGATTCCTAAGCAGGCTCTGTGTTGTCAGTGCAGAGCCAGACATGGGACTCAATCTCATGAACCATGAGATCATGACCTGAGCTGAAATCAAGAGTCGGATGCTTAACCGACTGAGCCACCCAGGCGTCTCTTAACCAAGTTATTTCTGAAAAACCTTTTAAAAGATTATTTTATTGTCTGTCTCATTTAAAGGTGAGTCGTTCGTCTTTGCTAATAGAACAGCCTGTGAAAAAAAGGCCTCTTTTGGATAATCAGGTGATAAACTCTGTGTGTGTTCAGCCAGAGCTACAGAATAATACAAAGCATGGAGATAACTCATCTGACACAGAGATAGAAGACATGATTGCTGAAGGTTTGTGGATTTTACTTAAGATACTGTTTAACTTTGACTTTTACTGCTTGAAACACAATATAGATTTTTATTCTACACATATTTTCACACACTGGGAAGTACTCACTTTTATTCTTATATAATGCATTATTTGATGAAAATAAATGGAAAGCTAATCAGACCTTTAATGGCTAAATAATTCAGATGGCCAGATGTTTAATTTGCATAATGTCAAATTGACTTTTGAAGGAGTGTAGGATGGAAGAGTTCCCCTATATATGAAAGTAATTCAGAATTTTAGCATCAAAGCAACCATTTCTCTGTCTCTTTGTAAGCAGACTTAAGTGAGTGACTGTTTCACTGAGTTTGCTTAAAATTTTGCTTAAAAGCTCCTGGGTTGTTTGGTTTTAGACTTTCCATATTCTGATGTTTCATGTCAGGTGGGAACTACAGTTGTATTAAGTATGTACCTGTCAATCAAGAGGTGATTAAATTTGTTCAAAGAGGAAAATATCACTAAATCTTATTGTTAGAAATTCCTTTTTTAAAGACTTTAGTCTAATAGTGAATATTCCAGAATAAGCACAAATACATGCCGAAGTAATATCTTTTATCTTTTATTGATTCTGATCACGGTCCTGTAATTGCAATACAGTTTATTCAAATAACATTTAGTGTAGCCAAGGCTGCACAGTAGTAATTTAATTAACATCCATGTCAAAGTCATTATCCTCAGTATCTTAGTATATTTCATCTAAAATTAATTTTCAGATATTTACTGAGTACTGTGTGCCTGTACTTTGCTAAATTAAACAAAATAGCATGCTGGTAAACAAAATAGATAATTGTCTTTGCCCACAGTTTGCCTGATTATGAAAAGCACCTGTGTCACTGTTACTGCCTTACACACTGTTGCAATGTATTCATCCCTGGTTTACTTTTTATTTGAACAGTGAAGAGTATGATAGTATAAAATTTGGTTTTACTGCTAACTTATATTTAGATCAGTTTGATTTTTTTTATTTTAAAAAATGTTAACTTAAATGAAAAATTCAAACCTACACAAATTAGAATTGTATAATGAAACCTCATTCACCCAGACTCAACACTGTTACCTGATTTCAAACATTATTTTTGGCACACTAGCTTCATCCATCTCTTTTGTTTTCCTCCCTTCATTTCCCTCTTTTCTCTTTCTCTGTCGCTTTTCTTTCTCTTCTTCCCTCCTTTCTGTTAAAAAAAAAAAAATCACAGTCCTCATTTCATTTCACTGGTATATAATTCATTGTGTACTTCTAGAAATATATATGAGGGACCTGGGCGGCTCAGTCAGTTAAGTGTCCAACTTCAACTCAAGTCATGATCTCGCAGTTCATGAGTTTGAGCCCCATGTTGTCCCTGCTGTTGGCACAGAGCCTTCTTCAGTTCCTCTGTCCCTCTCTGTCTGTCCCCCCCTCTCAAAAATGAGGATTAAAAAAAAAACCCACTAAGTTAAAAAAAAAATTTTAAATTAATAAAAATACATACATTTTTTATATATAATAACTATAATGCTGTATCACACAAAACAATAGTAAATCTTTGAGGTCATCTAGTACCTGGTTCATATTGAGATTTCCTCAATTATATAAATTGTATAAATATTCTTTTATAATTATTTTTCAAATCAGAATCCAACAATGTCTACCTTTTACCTTTTGTTATACGTTTAAATTCACTTAATTCCTGAATACTTTTAGTTATGCATACTATTCTGTCTGAGGAAAATGTTTCATTTGTGCTGAAGAATAGTAAAGGTGAATGTGCAGGGATTTTTCTTTTTTTCCTATCACTCTAAGAGGTGTATACATGAACATTCTAGGCTAAAAAACACGTATAGTGTGCCCTTTTGTGTGTCCACATTGGAGAAAAATGGAAACCTGTTTAGGAAGCTTTATAGCATATGTCATATACTCATGGTTTATAATATAATAGACATACAATGTATGTTAGACTGTGCTAGAACCTGAGAGGAGCTTTTGATCTAGTAGGAACCAGCGAATCTAATATAACTAAGGAGTAACATATGGTTAAGTTTTAAATGAATTAAATAGACAGTAAGAACTTGGGACTTTAAAACTAGTTTTAAAACTAGTTGAGATATAAACCACTAGTGAGTTGAGGAGTCATCTTACACAAGTCAGAATGGCTAGTATCAGAAAGACAATTAACAAGTGTTGGTGAGGATGTAGAGAAAAGGGAACCCTCATGCATGGCTTGTGGGAATGCAAATTGGTGCAACCACTATGGAGAGTAGTATGATGGTTCCTCAGAAAACTAAAAAAAGACATAACATATCATCCAGTAATTCCACTTTTGGGTATTTACCCAAAGAAAATGAAAACATTAATTTAAAAAGATATATGCACCCCTGTATTTACTGCATCATTATTTATAGTACCCAGGATGTGGAAGTAACCCGTGTCCATTAGTAGATGAATGAATAAAGATGTAGTATATATGTATATAGACACACACACACACACACACACACACACACACACATACACAAATGGAATATTACTCAGCCATAAAAAAGAATGGAATCTTGCTATTTGTGACAACATGGGTGGACCTATAGGGTGTTGTGCTAAATGAAATAAGCCAGACTGAAAAAGACAAGTCATCTGATTTCATTTACATGTGAAATCTAAAAAATAAAACAAGCAGGGGAGCCTGGATGGCTCAGTTGGTTGAGTGTCTGACTCGACTTAAGCTTAGATCATGATTCCAGTTGCAGAGGATCGGGTTCTACGTCAGGCTCTGTGCTAAGCATGGAGCCTGCTTAAGATTTCTCTCTCTCTCTCTCTCTCTCTCTCCCCCCCCCTCCCTCTCCCCCTCCCTCCATCCCCTGCCTCGACCTCCTCCCCCCTCTCTTTTTCTCTAAAATAAAAAAAATTTTTTTTAAAACAGCCACAGAAAGAAATAGACTTACAAATATGGAGAACAAACTGGTGGTTGCCAAAGGCGAGAGGATGGGAGGATGGGTGAAATTGGTGCAGGAGATTAAAAGGTACAAACTTCCAGTCATAAAATAATTAAGTCACATGGCTGAAAATACAGTATAGGGGATATAGTCAGTAATATTGTTATATACTTGTAAGCATTTCATAATGCATATAATTGCTGAATGACTGTCTTGTGTACCTGAAACTAATTTAATGTCAATTATACTTCAATTAAACAAACCTGGATGATGGAATGTTGTGACTATGTCTGTTAAATCCATCTGGTCCAGTGTATCATTCAAAGCCACTGTTTCCTTGTTGATTTTCTGTTTGGATGATCTGTTCTGTTCATCAGTGTAAATGGGGTGTTAAAGTCTGCTACTACTATTGTATTACTGTTGATTATGTCCTTTGTATTTGTTATTAACTGTTTTATGTATTTGCTTCCATGTTGGGTGCATAAATATTTACAGTTGTTTTAACCTCTTGTTGGATTGTCCCCTTTTAGTGTCCTTTGTCTCTTCATACAGTCTTTGTTTTAAAGTCTGTTTTGTCTGATGTAAGTATTGCTATCCTAGATTTCTTCTGACCTCTGTTTGCATGGTAAATGTTTCTCCATCCCCTCATTTTCAATCTACAGGTGTCTTTGGGTCTGAAATGAGTCTTTTGTAGGCTGTATATAGATGGGTCTTGTTTTTTTATACACCCTGTTACCCTGTGTCTTTTGATTGGAGCATTTAGTCATTTACATTTCAAGTAATTATTGATATGTGTTTATTGCCATTTTGTTACTTGTTTTATGGTTGTTTCTATCGAACACTTGAAAAGAGTGCAAACTGGTACAGCCACTGTGGAAAACACTATGGAGGTTCCTCCAAAAAATTAAAAATAGAACTACTTTACAGCCCAGTAATTGCACCATTGGGTATTTACCCCCAAAATACAAAAATGCTAATCCAAAGGGATACATGCACCCCTATGTTTATTGCAGCATTATTTATAATAGCCAGTACAGGAAGCAGCCCAAGTGTCCACTGATAGATGAATATATAAAGAAAATGTGGTATTTACATATAATGGAATATGATTCAGCCATAAAAAGAATGAAATCTTGCCATTTGCAACAACATGGATAGAGTTGGAGAGTCTAATGCTAAGTGAAATAAGTCAGTTAGAGAAAGATACCACATGATTTCACTCACATGTGGAGTTTAAGAAACAAAACAAATGAGCAAAAGAACAAGGAGACAGACCAAGAAACAGAGTCTTAACTATTAAGAACAAACTGACGGTTACCAGAGGAGAAGTGGGTGAAATAGGTGATGGAGTTAAAGAGTATGTTGATGGAAAACAGCAACAACAAACCTGGCTGATATTACTACCAGTTTGGTAAGTTTTCTGTGAAGGTGGGATTTGACCTGGGATGATAAAACATAGATTTAAGTTAATGAACAGGAAGAACCTTTTACGTTGGAACCATGAATAATAAATGTACAAAGGATGTGCAAGTAACTTCATAAGGGGGCAGCAAAAAGTAGACTGTTGAGTTAGAGAAGTAGTGAGAAGTAAGACTGGCAGAATCAGATTCTAGAGCATCTTGGATATTTGACCAAGTAGTTAGGAGTTATCTTGTCAAGAGAATGGTTACTGAAGATTTTTAGTAGGTAGGCAGGTAACATGAAAAGTGTGTTTTAGGAAACTGGTGGTTATCTGTAGGATGAAAATAGGTTTGGCATGTAATTGTTACTTGTAGTTATGTTGGGAAGAGGAAGGAAAGGATTTATGCAGGACAAGGCAAAAAGGGTAGTTTAATAGGATAAATTAGAGTAAGGAAAAGGATGATTTAAAGGTGGTTAATCTGGGCACAGAGTAAGTAGTAAATAAACCAGAGATCTCATGCATAGTATAATTGCTTAGAGAGTAAACTCGAGTATTCCAACCACTAAAAAGGAAAGATAATTATGTAAAATGATAGAGGGTGATGGCAGTGCTAAATATTGCTACAATAGCTATCATCATATATAAATGTAACAAATTAACACAGTGTACACTTAAATTTGCACAGTGTTATAAGGTAAATATACTCCATAAAAAAGATGAAGCTGTTTCACAGTGGAGATATATTTCCATAGACTATGCCAGATTTTTAAATACTTCATAATTTAATTTCCCAAGGTAATTTTATAAAGTATATTACTGTCTACTTCAGTGCTTATCAGAAGTACTATAGGGTGAAATGGTGAGGTCATTTATTTAGTGGCTTTAGTAGTATATGCAGTTTAATTCAGTAGAAAAAAACTTTGTGTAAGGATTATTCTGGCACCTTACGCTGCCAGTGTGTTATGGCCCTGGCATCCCTAGAATGTTGTTTTCATTTCTAAGATAGTTAATCTTCATTTTCACATTCTAAAGAGTGAGTTGAGGGAAAGGGCACCACCTGGAATTGGCAAGCATTTCCATTCACACGTCATGAATGGCCACACCTTGGGCAGAAACTACAGTTTTTATTTTCAGAGGCCCTATGTCTTGCTAAAAATTAGGATTTTGTTGCTATCGGAGAAACATGAAGAATGGATGAGGGAGAATTACGAGCTATCTGTGCCAGACTCCCATCTTTATTAGCTGAAACAAGAGTTTTTGAACTCTTTTGGCTCGTAATTTATTATTATTATTATTCCACACTTTCACAAATGTGGAAAAGTAGCCTTAGTAACATTACCAAATTTGTTAAAATTCTGACAAACAGTGGAACAGGGATTTTTGAATCTGTTAATGTTCCTCTCTTCATTATGAGAAATAAAACTGATGTTCATTTTTTGTTAGGTTGTTAGCCCTTAGACCATACCTGTTTGGACCTCCCCTCTCTCACCAGCAAAAACATTTCTTCTTTATAAGGTATTCTGACCTATTCTCAAATGTTGCATATTGCTACATTAATTAATACAGACTTTTAAAACAAAGCTTTCAGTATAGTCTGGAAATGGAATAACTTGATGACCAGACCTTTGGGGCCAGATTGGTGACTGTGGTAGGTGAGTGAGAGGTTCTGTCTCCTGTAGAGGCTTTTCAAAGTTCATTCGGGTTTCAAGCATGACAAAGTGAAAACAATACTGGAAGTTGTGACGTTGGGTCCCAGGAATGTGTTGTTGAGCCACAGTTGTGTAAAAGCCATTTCTAGGTCATTTGAAGGAGCAATTTTAATTTTACTTATTTTGAGACCTTTTTTTTTTCATTGCGACTCACCAGATGAGTTTTACTTATGAAGATAGCCCTGAAAAAGTTTTTAAATGACCTCTTGCTAGCTCATGGTTTGGTCAGTCATGATGATGTATTTGGATGTCCCTTGGAACTTTCACTGTGTTTTTTAGTAGTTTAGCTGTCTTATCTTGATTTGGCCCTTTGCCATTTGCTTCTCCAATAACACTAGGATAAAGTGACTGCTTCAACTTCCTGAGTACTCTACATTTCAGAGTCCCTTTCTTCATCTTAATAAGCCTTTGGTTAAATGAATAACACAGAAAAGCACACATGGAACTCATAGCTAAAAGCTTTACTTAGTAAAGTGTAGTTTTTTGCATATTTTATATGACTTGGCATAGGAATTATGGTGATGCAAGAACATGGTAGAATATGGTGGGTTTAAGAATGTTAGCAGGTTTTATTTCTTAAGTACTTATTACTGGTATTGGTACCCTTAAGTCTCAAGTGGAATATAGGAAACGGAACTGCCTCTTTTTTATGCCAACTTTCTCTTGTACTCACATAGTCATCATTGCAGTTCTTTGGGAACGGTATTATACACCCCATTTTATAGAGGAGAAAGCTGTGGGCCATGAAGATTAAACTGCTTGCTTATAGGTGATTGCTGCTGAATACTGGAGGATTTAGGTAGGAAGTTTCCTTGGGTCTAGTGATACAGCTTGAAGAAAATTATGGATATAGAGGGGGAGGGAAGGATAGTCTAACTTATTAGTACTCTGACAAGAAGGAGGTCAGAAATTACAAAATTAATTCTGATTTTTAAGATTAATATAAATCATTTTTGTTTTTATATGATACATATAAAAGGGACCATTTTATAATTGGGTATCTATATCTTTATGTTTTCTATTAACATTGCAGATCTTTGAAAAGGTTAATTATCTTACATGCTCCTCTAACGTCAAGTATATCAAAATCTTAGCCCCTTTCTGAAGGCATCCTCATTCTCTCCAGTTACAATGAAGTGTTCTCTGCTATATATCTTCATAGCACATTGCACCAAAATTAATATCCTATGCAGTGCTTTTTGAAAGTGTTCCTCCTGAAGGATGTTACTTATTCATCTTCACTTCTTTTAATACTGCTCCGTAAAGTTATTTGCACATTTTAAGTATGTTGGATTCTTAGTGGAATGAACCTTTAAAAATGCATTGCTTACTTATGTAGAGAAAACTCCATAAATTTTTTCTGGAGGAGCAAGAGGGAATTGATGGATCCAGTTGTTCTTGGAATATTTTCCTTGCCAAAGAGGCTATGGATTGAAAAGTTAAAAGACCGTTTCTTTAAGTTTCCCAGAGGGACTGAACTAGCTGCATCCAACCAAAGTAGAGACTTATAGAAAATTTGCCACAATTAAATTTTTGGACGTTTTTTCCTTTGTTTCCTTCTTTTTTTTAGAGACATTAGAAGAAATGGACAGTGAGTTGCTCAAGTGTGAATTCTGTGGGAAGATGGGATATGCTAATGAATTTCTTCGGTCAAAACGATTCTGTACTATGTCCTGTGCCAAAAGGTATTTCTGTTCTCTTGACTTTCCTGAAGCATAAACCAACAAGTACTGTGACAAAACCAAAAACCCTGTGGAGCTTACCAGTGGCCAAAAGTACATATTGTAACATACAGGAAGAATATCAAGTAGGCATTATCTGAAGCTACTTTGATATTTAGATATTAAATTTTGCTCTTTAAAAATTACATATTCATAACATTTTCAGTGAGTTTTACAGCATATTCTGATATTGACATCTCATGTTAAGAATATGCTTAGGAGAATCTCTTCTGTGTCCTTAACGTATCAAAACAGTTTTTCTTTTATCACCTGATTATTTGATCAATATTAAAATACCAGGATTAACTTTGTTTTTTGTTTATTTTATTTTTATTAGAGAGCATGAATAGGGAGAGGGGCAGAGGGGGAGAGAGAATCTCCAGTAGGCTTCACTCTCAGCGCAGAGCCCAGTGTAGGGATTGATCCCACGACCCTGGGATCATGACCTGAGCTGAAATCAGGAGTCAGATGCTCAACCCACTGCACCACCCACGTGCCCCAGGATCTGTTTTGTTTTGTTTTAAAATGTTTTCATTATATCCTATTTATTTTAGGTTTTTAAGTGGGACGGCTGCAGCATAAGTTCTCCACATTGTTACATTATCAGAGAGCAAAATATGTCTTTTCCAAAACTGTATTTTCAATAATAATAATATAGATAAACAGTACTGATAACAAAAGAAATATTTAATATCTTCATTGTTCTTGTCGCAGGATTAGTTTACATAAAAAAAAAAAAACCCTGATGCTGATAATAAATCTTAATATAAGTGTTTACCACTGGAGGTGAGGTGTATGTACAGATTATTTTGAAATTTGTTCTTTGTTCCAAGAAGTGATTTTTCAATCAAAGAATATAAGATATTCTTTACATCTAAGGATTTTCTTGCTTGAACATACTATTTAGTATGGTGCCACTTAAATATACATAACAAAACTTAAATAGTAATAGAAGTATTTTCCTCCAAAAAGTGGCTTCATTTGCTTTCTCTCTTGTTAATCTTTTATTCACATATTATCTCATGTTCTTGATAGCCGTAAGCAAGTTTTGTAGCTCCTGTTTTAACTTGGGAGTTTTCCACAAGGAAAACCAGTGGCTCTCCAATTTTAAGTGATTAGGAAAAAAGGCAGTCTTTCAGAATATTTTAAATGTCTTGATTATTTACAAATATTTCAGAACATTTAATGCCACTACCATCGCTCCTCCCAGAGATGATTGCTGAGTTGTCAAGTTATTGTACATTTAGGTGAATCTCTTTAGGGGGTTAGGGATCCTAACAGAGAAATGCAGACACAGGTCAGGTCAGGGAAGAAATGCTGCTGTTTACATGTCTGCCTTGGAGATTTAAATATTTAGGGACTAAACAGGAAGTGTAAGGTTAGTCTCTCTTCTCTGCTCGCTAGTCTTTGAGGAAGGAAGGCTTGTGAATGGAAATCAGAAACCTACAAGCTGAGCCCAGAGAGGAGCTGAGCCCACAGATCAGCATAATGAACACAGCAGGAGCTTGTTGAATTTTTAGAGTAAAATGGCCATTGGACACTTTTTTTTAGGTTTATTTAAGAGAGAGTGAGTGTGTGAGTGGGGGAGGGGCAGAGAGAGAGAGAGAATCCCAAGCAGGCTCTGCCCTGAGTTCATGACCTGAGCTTAACCAACTGAGCCACCCAGGTGCCTTGTGGACACATTAAAAAAATATATTTTTAGAGAAAAATATAGCTTATTCATTTTCATGGTACTCCTTCCACCTCCTGGTGTTTTCATGAAACATAGGTGAGGAAAATATTTTTTGGTATCTCTATATTGGTCGCAGGATAGTTCTCAATAGCAAAGTTAATTGGGATTTATTCTTGTCATTTTCCTGAGAAATCTCAGAGAAAAAAGTCTTGAAAATACAAAGTTACAGTGCAAGGTTTTTTCTTAAATATTTATTTTTAAGAGAGTGAGGGGGTGGGGACAGAGGATCCAAGGCGGGCTTTGTGCTGACAGCTAAGAGCCTGATGTAGGGCATGAGCTTATGAACCATGAGATCATGACCTGGGCTGAAGTCAGATGCTTAATCGACTGAGCCACTCAGGTGCTCCTACTGTAGCAGTTTTATATATATTAAAAAAAGAGGAACTGTATGTATTTTTCTTAGCCTTTCTTCAGCTTTTCAAAAATTTGTTTCTTAGATTATTCCTTTTTGCTCTTTTTAAGTTTGTATATTTTGAGAGAGGGAGAACGTGAGTGGGGGAGGGGCAGAAAGAGAAGGAGAGAAAAAATCCCAAGCAGGCTCCACACTGTCAGTGCAGAGCCCAATGAAGGGCTTGATCTCACAAACCATGAAATAATGACCTGAGCCAAGCTCAAGAGTCGGATGGATGCTTAACTGACTGAGCAACCCCAGGTATCCCCTGCTTTTCTTTTGAGGGAAGGGTGTTGGTAAACTGTACCCAGGCCCAGTCTTTCATGTATCCCATTTTTGGATGGCCTCTGAGCTAAGGGTTGTTTTTAAATTTTTAGGGGGTTGGAGAAAAAAAATTAAATGAAAAATAATATTTCATGACACATGAAAATTATGTGAAATTCTAATTTTACTCTAAAATCTTACTGGAACACAGCCATCCTCATTCATTATTGTTCATGGCTGACAGCTGCTTGCATGTTACAGTTGCAGTGTTGAGTAGTGTGATGAAGTCTTGTATTGTTCGCAAAGCCAAAAGTATTTACTGTCTGGGCCTTTGTAGAAAAAGTTTACCAGCCCTGTTCTAAGGCCTTGAAACCCAGTAAACAGCACAGGACTTTTTAAAACTGTCATCATGCCTTTAAAAGTCTATATTTTATTTTATTTTATTATTATTTTTTTTACAAATAGTTTATTGTCAAATTAGTTTCCACATAACACTCAGTGCTCATCCCCACAAGTGTCCTCCTCCATGCCCATCCCCTCCTCCCCCCCACATCCATCAGTCCTCAGTTTTTGTCAGCATTCAAGAGTCTCATGGTTTGCCTAAAAGTCTATATTTTAAAATATTAGTCCAATGAAAGTAATCTTTCAGCCAGTTTTAAAGAATTATGTGTATTTGAATTTCCTAAATAGTGAGAACTATGATGAATTTGTGCAACTTTAAAATCTCAACTTTACGTTTTCACTCTTTAATTTCAGTATTATTTGAAAAATCTTTTACTAGGGGCACCTGGGTGGCTCAGCCAGTTAAGCGTCCGACTTCGGCTCAGGGTCATGATCTCACGGTTCGTGGGTTCAAGCCCCACGTCAGGCTCTGTGCTGACAGCTAGCTCAGGGCCTGGAACCTGTCTTCAGATTCTGTATCTCCCTCTCTCTCTGACCCTCCCCTGCTCACTATCTCTCTCTCAAATAAAACATTAAAAAAATTAGAAAAAAAAAGAAAAATCTTTTACTAGCCATTTGAGATTTCCCCCCTGTACTATACTAACCTGTTTATATTAGTCTCTCTTCAGAAACAATTACTTGGAAAAACAGTTTGAACATCTACACAATTAAACTTCTTTTTCTCCTGGAACCTTGAATTATTTTGCAATAAATTGGTTATCTTCTGTATCATGCTGTTATTAGGAGAAAATATCAATACTTATTGGTGTCTAATAACAATTGAGAGCTATATTATGATATATAGAGGCCATTTTTTGACTGTCAGCATAAGTAAATCCATTGAACACTATGGTTTACGTTCTGAGGTATTACAGTCCTTAATGAAATATTTGGCACTTACTGATTCACAAGTGCACTTTAAAGTCATAATTAAATACTAAATGGAGTGTTCCATATATCATTTAATATTTTTTTCTTACTTGAATTTCTTAGGTACAATGTTAGCTGTTCTAAAAAATTTGCACTTAGTCGTTGGAATCGTAAGACTGATAATCAAAGTCTTGGGCATCGTGGCCGTCGTCCAAGTGGCCCTGATGGGGCAGCAAGAGAACATATCCTTAGGCAGGTCTGTAGAAACCTTGCTTCAATGTACAATACCCTTTTCAGAAATGTAAGGAAAGTGCAATGCTGTATTTTACTTGTACTACATTTTCCAGCTTCCAATTACTTATCCATCTGCAGAAGAAGACTTGGCTTCTCATGAAGATTCTGTCCCATCTGCTATGACAACACGCCTGCGCAGACAGAGTGAGCGGGAAAGAGAGCGTGAGCTCCGGGATGTGAGAATTAGGAAAATGCCCGAGAACAGTGATTTGCTACCAGTTGCACAAACAGAGCCATCTATATGGACAGTTGATGATGTCTGGGCCTTCATCCATTCTTTGCCTGGTATGTAATTCACCACTTGGCCTTAATATTTTTCTTGTGCATTCACACACAGGAATGATGTTAGATCCATCCACACCTATTGCACGAAAGGGCTAGAGAAGTACTATGTATATGTATTAATTAAATGGCATTTGCTATTGAAATGTGATCTGTTTCCTCTCGCTTATTCCCTCAGCACAACTGGGTATTTTCTCATACCCCCCAAGTCGATAAAAACTGACTAGTCCTGCTTCTGCTGTGACACCTCAGCCGGTGAAGATATTAAAGGTGCTCTCTTCTCTTCAGTCTGATTTCTCTCGAGAGGTCAGTAGAGAGATTGAGTCAGACACTTCTTCCCTTCTGCTCTATTTTTCTATTCCATTTCCTCTTTATTTCCTAATTTAACCTTTTTAAATAAAATAAGAGAGACTATATATATTTATTTTTTGCATTTTTGAAAGCTAATCAAGACCTTTTAGAATATGATAACATTTTGGTTTCTTTTTGAAAAATCAAGCTGGTTCTTTTAAAGGAAGCTGCATTCCTTGATTCTTTTCAATAAGTAGACATCAAGAACCCTTCTGAAATTTGTTTTTAAGGAGACAACTAAAATTCAGTTAAGATATTCAGTTCCAATATTGAGGGTAACTTTCTTATTTATGTTTTTTCTGCTCTCTCATTTTGGTGACTCGTTCCATCAGCTTAATTCTTTATGTTCTTTATCTTTTTTCTTTAATGCAACAGTCTTTTATATCTCCTTTCTCCAAGGGGCTGGTTACTAAAGATAACTCCAACATTGCTCATGATGAGACCCACACTGATTATATAAAGACTATATTTTTTAAAATCAGCAACTCTTATTCATTCCATTATGAATATGGAAAACAAGATTTTTAAAATGTTTGCTCCATTTTGATTTTATTGTGAATCATACTATTTCTCTTGACACAAGCTTTCCAGAAAAATATATCCCCTTTGAACTTGTCTACAGACTTATTAAAATTAATCCAACTATTTTTGCTGATTAACCTTTCTATGAAGGTAGCCACTATCTCAGAAGCAAGCTTACAGTTAATGTACTGAGTGAAGAAGGTATATTCAGAACTATTAACTACTTTAAAAAAAAAAAATGTCATTTTACCTTACATACAGAATTCTAGGACACTTTATTTTCTTTTTTTAAGGTTTATATATTTATTTTGACAGAAAGAGAGAGAGTGGGGAGAGGGCCAGAGAGAGAGTGAAACAGAGAGAATCCCAAGCAGGCTCTACACTGTCAGCACAAAGCCCGATGCAGGGCTTGAATTCAAACCACGAGGTCATGACCTGAGCTGAAACCAAGAGCCAGTCACTCAATTGATGTGAGCCATCCAGGCACCCCATTTGATTATTTTTCAGTACCTTGTTTTAGAAATGCTAAATAAGTCTTTTTTTAAACAAGATATGGTCACTTTTAAAGATTGCAATTGTTTAAAAAGAGGATACATTTTTCATAGAAGATTTTTAAGCATGCACCTAAGAAAACTTAGGTGTGAGTTAATTGCTGACCATAGAGGTTTAGAATCTGCTTTAAAACTGATATGTTAGAGGATGGTGAGTCTTCACTGACTGTGGTTTTAATATATAAGGACTAAAATAAATTTTAGTTTTTAGGCCAGTCTGGATATCTTGAGAATTAACACTGGAATCTTTATTGATCCCCCAGAGCTTGACTTTGATTCTGTCATCTTCAGAATTAGTCTGTCTTCCACATGGGGGTGTGAACTGTTAGCCTGGTTTCTCATTTGGGGGAAACTGTTTCCTTTCCTTTGGGGACAAGGGTTCGTTCATAACCTGAGGAAAGTAGTTGGTCAAATAATGAACAACTAATAGATATCTGATTCTTCTGTCATTTCATATGCTTCTTTTAGGGCTAATTTTCTAATTTTGCCCAACATCCAGTTGCCATGAGGTTACTTTTGGATGCTTTTATTAGAACAAAGGCTAAATTCCTTTGTCTCATTCTTGCTTCTTCAGCTGAAAAAAAATATTGCTTATAGCTTGAAATGCTTATCTTACTGAGCTCATCGAGACACAGTTTTGCCAGTTATTTAGAGAACGTTACATATCATTATTTAGAGAACATTATAAACTGCTTTATAATTTAGAATTGCTTGGTACTGTGTAAGTCTGCTTAATGTAACACTGCTTTCCTTTTACTGATTAAATGGGAGTATTTTCAATGCTTTGATAGGCTAAATAACAAGCTTAATATCTGTGTGATCAGTTCTATCTTCTTTCACAAAGTTTCTCTCTGAGTAATACCTGTGACTTAAAGAAAATTTCATATCAGAAAATGCTCTAATCTTCATTTCTGTTTACTCCTTTGGCCTTTGTAAACTTCTTTGAAACCTCTTTCAAGCTCATTCAGGACTCTGTTGGGTATTTTCTCCCCCTAAGTACTATTTTCAAACTTTTCTCATAGAAGGAACAAACTTATAAATTTTGTAATCTCTTATATTTTCATTCTTACCAGTTGAAATAGGCTTCCCTCTTTATATAGGGCACTCATATTTACTCGTAGAGTTTTCTCTTCTCTTTGTATAATTTCATCTTGTGAACCATCCTGGTGGGATCGTATTAGAGCTGGTATGCTATATACCCAATCTCAGAGCTGTCACCACAGTGGAAAATTATTTTCTTCTCAATTTGTGTGTATTCAGAAGTTCTCTAGAGGAACAATTCTTATTTTCAGTTAACTGCAGTTCTCTTCTTAACTCTTGATATGGTGCAAAACATCAGTTTATTCGGTATTTATCGATTTGTGAATCTGTAGTAGATTTGTTTTTTCTTCAGGCATATATAGTAGGAATTATCTAAAAATACATGATTATTGGTTTTCATAATACTAATATTGGGACTTGTTTACATTAAGTGGCAGGTGATCTATTTCACCAGCCTATTTTGTGTAGAGTGTTCTTATTTTGGGTATTTAGCTGAAAGAGTGACCGAACATTGCAAAGTTCAGCTGTGACTTGTGTCCATTGGCAGAGGCCCATGCCCATCTTGATAGCTGTTTCTGGTGCCATAAGCCCAGCGAGGCTGACTGGTTGCTGCAGGTGGGATATGTTTGGTAGGAGTCCCTGGAGTACCAGCCATTTTATAGAAGTAGATTCTATAAAACTACTTCTCAGTTTTATAGAATCAGTACCTTGAGCATCTAAAGGTATTTTGAAAATTCGTTTTTCTCTAATGAGTTTCTGGAAATGTATTCACTTCTGCCTCCCCACCCTCACTTTTTCTTTTTTTAAGTAATTTTATTTTTTCATTTCTATACTAATGTATAGCATAACTACCCTTAGTTGTGGTTGGCTTAAGAGAGTTATGATCCAAAATCTGAAGATAATGCATTCCTACTCAATCATGCAGTTTCCCAAAACATTTTTGTTCTTTATTATTTTGCTAATCCATTTACTTAGTACAGGAAGACATTTGAAGAGGATCTCACAATACATAGGAACAAAAACATTCTATACATTTCCTCATGGAGAACTCCTTGTTTCTATTCCCAAATGTAGCTCTTACAGTCCTCATTACTTCTCATTGCTCCTGTTTTCTGAATCTAAGTAAGTTCCGCCCTATCTTTCTCTCTCTTTTCTTTCCTGTGTCTCTTGTAAGTAAGACTGAAGAGAGAAGAACATTAGTTCTTTCATAAAAAGAAGGATGGAGTCACAACTAGATGCAAGATTAGTCAGTTTTGTGTGCCCAGTTTTGAGAGCTACCTCTGGGAAAAGAAAGGGAGCTTTTTCTATGGTGAGTAATCCCATTTTAACTGTATAATTTCTTTTATATGGTAAATGGCAAAGCTGTAACAGTCTGCGTAGGGTACTTTTGAAAGGTCAATTTTTAAGTCTGAGAAATTAAAATAGAGAAGTTGAAAAGCTGGTTGCTATATATAAAACAGGAAAGAAACCGCTAACAGAGAAGATGGGATAAGAAATAACCAAGAGAAAAGATGGCCATACAGCTGAATACAGAAAGAAGTGTATTATTATTATTAAAAATAGCTCCTCCGTAGCAGGTTCTGTTTTTGTTCATTGTTTATCCGCTCACCCAATCCTTCATTTATACAAAAATGTATGTGTTTAGCCCCTAACAATGCTTTGTGCTTAGTGCTGGAGTTCTAGGGATGACATCATTATCTTATATAAACAAGAGGATGACACGTTTGCAATAGAAAGGATAAGCATTCCAGCTGACTTGTGCTATCCAGAGGTGTAATATAATCATTTCTATTTTTCATTATCTTTGTGTTTTCTCTTAGAATGCTGATTTAAATAAAATAGATTTGAAGCTGTTAGTTTTTATTCTTAAATTCATTTTTATAATTTCACTCTTATAAGAAAGCTTCCACATTACTGCATTCTCTCCTTTCTTGGTTCCTTAACTCATTACCTTCCCTGGTTGTTTCTTTTTTTTATTTTTTAATTAAAAAAAATTTTTTATATTTATTTCTGAGAGAGAGAGACAGCATGAGCAGGGGAGGATCAGAGAGAGAGGGAGACACAGAATCCGAAACAGGCTCCAGGCTCTGAGCTGTCGGCACAGAGCCCAATGCAGGGCTCAACGCCACGAACCATGAGATCATGACCTGAGCCAAAGTCGGACGCTTAACTGAGCCACCAAGGCACCCCTTCCCTGTTTGTTTCTTTACCCTTCGTGGGGAAGTTTATTGAGCAACCTGGCTGTGCAAAATTTGATAGATAATAAAAACATTTGAGGTTCATGTAGATATTAGCATTGTTAACTGCTGAAGCACCTGGTTTACACTGTGAGATAAAATATTGATTTGGCAAGAGATGGGGGGGGCAAGCTTATAATTTCAGTGGGGATTTATGTTTTCTTACCAAAAATGGAGACGAGTCCAGTGATGCTAAGATATGAAGTTGAAATTACAAGTCAAGCAGTGTAATACATTTCAGCAGCATTACAGTAGATTGATACTACAGTCTTGATGGTTTGGTTCTTTCTTGAGTGAAAAATAAAAATGTTTAAATGTGCTTGGCAATTGAAGGTTGTAAATTCAAATAAGGTACAAATGATAATGAAAGGGCACTCTGGTACTTGAGAAAACACTTCTAAATTGTTATTCAGATGGCAGAACATTGTACTTTATTCCTTCGTACCTAGATGTGAAGGGTTTATTATACAAAGTTCATGAGATGTAATAACTAGTTAATCCAAACTTGTTATGTTTGTGGCATGCTTTGAGGTAATACCATTATCCTTTTTGTCAAGGTATGTTAGTTATAACTGGACTGATGAATCTACATTTTTCCTGACTCTTACTAATTATTTCTGTATTATTATTTTTAGAACAAGAATTCCAAGTAAATTGCTTTACCTGGCTATCAAATTAATTCTTACTTTCAGAATGCCAAGAAATACTCTCTTCTTCAGGAATGAACCCAAGATGACCATAAATTTCATTTGTTTTCTAGCCTGTATTTCAGATACTCAAACCCATTGAGAGAATAACTGTCACTGTTAAAATAACATCTAATTGTTACGTATTAATGCTAACTTCCATCCTCTCATCAAATTCCAGGCTGCCAGGATATTGCAGATGAATTCAGAGCACAGGAGATTGATGGACAGGCCCTTCTTTTGCTAAAAGAAGACCATCTTATGAGTGCAATGAATATCAAACTAGGCCCGGCCCTAAAGATCTGTGCACGCATCAACTCTCTGAAGGAATCTTAATAGGAGCATGAAGCTGTGAGAAAACAGCAGTTTTACTCTTCTTAAACAAACTTGTAAGGTAAAGGCTCAAGCTGGCCTAGAATGTTATCATATATTGTGGTGGATAGCCAAGCACATTGGGATCTCCACATCAAAAGCCGACATTTCTTCTACAAATAGAGTAATTCATCATACATTTTCATAATTAGCCAACATTGATAAAAGTAATTTTACAGGTTACATGCAACATTGAAAGACTTGATATAGAGGGCCATGATATTTTTCAAAGAAACGTGTTATACTAGATAATTTTTTAAAGGTGACGTTTATCATTAATATAAAGAATCCTTTTAAAAGTAATTTAATGATTTACATTTTTCCTCTTTTGATTCGGTTTTCTTATACATTTTTCTACCCTGTAAGTTTTCTATAGGTTGTCATGAGAGATATAATTTAGGAATAGTTTAGGAGTCCAGTGACTGGAATTGTATGCAATGAGATATCAGTTGTGCATTTTAAGAAACATGTCTGTCAGACAATTGCTTTGTCTGTAAAAAGGATTGCATTCTAGCATGAATAATACTAATCTGGAAGTCAGAGGAGTTGGTTTCTATTCCAAACTTGACCAAGAATTTGATGTTGCTGAGAAAAGTTAGTTTTCTTCTTAGTTTTTTTACATTTAGAGCAGTGGTTCTCACCAGAGGTCAGTTTTGCTCCCCAGGGGATATTTGACAGTGTCTAGGGACATTTTGGTTGTCATAGCTTGGAGGAGTTGGGGAGGATTGGAGGACAGGGACATTGCTAAGTATCCCACAGTGCACAAGACAGTCCTCCAAAACAACAATTTAGCCAGTCGAAAATGTCAAGTCGTGTCAGGGTTCAGAAACCCTGATGTAGGAGTGATAAATGTTGTTCTTTTTTTTACCCAGAGGGTTATTTTGAAAAAATGAGACATAATAAGGAATATATTATACAATGGAAGTATTTCAGATAGCATTAATGTTCTGCTGAAGTATTTTTCCCAGTTTTATGCATAGTTAAAAAAAAGGGGAAAATCCACTAAATTGACCTGTAAAATAAGGACTAGCATACAAATAATTTGAGTCTCAGAAAGTAGGAATTCATATTATCTTTCATCTCTCTTTGCTCCTCTGCACTGATGAAGGCATAATATCATTATACCTTATGAACCAGTGCATGGCCTTTGCTGGCACGATAGTAGTTTGTAGTGGGTATGTGGGTGGTCTTTGGATTTTTTTCTAATGTTGAACATGCTGGGTCTAGCTTGAATGCACATTCCTTTTTCCTTGACTAACCCTTGCATGCTTCCTACAAAGTACCCACCAACTAGTATCTCTTGGATTATCACATCTAATTTTGTATGTACATGTTTTAGGGAAAAAACATTTTAAAGCAAAATTTTTCACTGAACAGTTTGTGTTCTGTCAGAATTATGACATTAAAACAAAATTGTTATGGGAGCCCTGAGAACCTTACTGTCCTGGACATAAAATATTTGTTTTAATCCTTTTTATCTTTACCACACGATGGAAATATTTTAAAATAGAAGGAACATACACAGATATTTGGCAGACATTCAGTAAGTGGGGACGAATCCATGGGTTTCAGTCATTGTCACTGCTCTTTTCAAAGATTGTGTTGAGCTAGTAGAAGACTAAAGATGTCATTAAAGACATCACAGATGTTTATCTTTTGGCTTTGTGTACATTAGAGAATGTTGATTATTTTTATACAAAAATACAGCGGGTAATTTTTTTAATCTTTAGATGCCTCTTGTTTGAATGTATGCTTTGTGGGATTCTTTTGTGTAGTAATGTTTAAAAAAAAAAGATGTTTACTGATAGTTATGTGTAGGATTAGAATGCGTAATATAGTGTAAGGCTCAAGTTCCAGACCTACAGTAGCTTGTAGTCTATGTTACATATTTCTTTATATCACATTTTTAATTATTGGATTAAAGTTTCAAGGAAAGGTAGGAGCTCTATAGTCAGTTTTCATTTATTAGCAGTTAATCATTATGACAGAGTTGTCATATCCTTGACTTTTCCCCCTCATCTTGGTGTTTCCAAACACAAGTGTAGGCTAAGCATTAATAGGATGGTCCACTGTGTGTGGGAGGCAGAGGGCACGCAGGAAAATCTCCCCTGGAATTAAAACTTTGTCATAGATAATCCACAAGCAGTGCATTTCAGGCTCTGTTCGCAATAATGGTTACCTCCCATAACTGAATTTTCTATATTGCCTTTAAGGTATTAACTCTGAACTGTGTTATAGGATCTCCTTTTCTTCACTGTCTTTTCTGATATCAGTCATTATATACGGATTGAAAGCCCTTGTGCCTAGCACCATGTTAAATATCCAAGAAAGCTTACCAGAAGGAGGATTTCCATTTGAGAGCACCTTATCATCTTAAATCTTGTAATAATCTCAAGAGTAGTCCAGATCTTCTTTTGTCCTCACTCAAAACATACCCAGAAAATATACTTGCATTTTTTTCAAGTGAGCTATTTTATTTAAAAATGGCTCATTTGCTTTCAACTGGCAGTTTTCCCTTTTGATGCAATGGTTTTCTCTAGAGGATTTAACCATCTTAAAAATCAAAGCCTCAGTTATATATGATGAATATAGATAACACTGGGTGTCCACTTATAAGTTCTAAGTACAGTTCTGGTGTGAGGTGGGTGGGGAGAGTATTCTTTTCTCTTTCCTTCATGCTATTGCATTGTTTTAGGATTTTCATTGATGAGAAGGAATGACAGAAAAGGGACATGGGAAGTTCTTCCTACTTTTGCTAAGTGTACATTTTCTGACTTCTTTAAACTGATGCACTCTTTTCCCATTGAGGGAAATAAAAAAACCTACAAGTTTCAAATTTTTTTTACTCTAGGCCATGTGTTCCCTCAGAAAATAAACAAACTGAGAAAGCTGCTTTGTAAATGTTTTAACATGACCTGGATTTTCATCAAGCCTTGGGTAGGCATGTGTCGGACGGGCTCTGCACCTTTGATGTAATCACTGTCGTATAAGGCAGAGTGCTGTCCCAAAACCTGTCACTTTTTAAGCAGTGTATAACTGTTTTCAGGATGGTACTTCTAATTTGCTGTGGCATCACTAAAGAGACGTTTTTCTTAGTCTAGCTTAAGGGCTGTCACGTGGGAGTGGAGAAGGAGGAATGAGGGAAAGACATGTTAGTGAAGCTGGAGAATGGGAGAGAGGCAGACAGAAGAGACCTGTCACTTCACTTGTCCCACTTCAACACTGAACAAATTTCTGCACTTTTGAAGTTAATTTCATGATTTACCTTGTTTTAAGTAGAAATGATTTTTTTAGGTAGCCTATTGTTTTTGTTTCCTAGTGTGTTGAAACACTTCCTTAGAACTGTTTGAAGTATTGCTGCGCCCATGCCTCTGAATACTTTTTTGCGTGAAATTATAGTCAGACATTTATTCAAATACCAGTCCTAGACTGAAATCTGTCACAGTGTCCCCTATCACTGACTTGTTCAATCAAATGTTACGAAGTCCCATTTGCATTTGCAAGGTTCTGGTACCATCATGGCACAAGTATGGTAGGAAGGCAATATATAGATTGTATAATCTTAGGTTGTTTACATGGGTGTAAACAGTTTTGGAAAGAATAAACTATTGTAGACGTACGTGAATGATGCCACCCTCACAGCCATATTGAGTAGATGAAATCCCTGGATGGACACACTGTTAAAATGTTTTAAAGACACATTTTCAACTAGAACAGACTGATTCTATTTTGTGGTTTGAAGGTCTTCACCCTTAGTGAATGGCAGGAACACATGCTGGCTGTGTGCAGCTGGCGCTAAACATTACCTGACAGCATGGGTGGGCCTCGCTCACTGCTTTCTTCCCTAAAGCCTATTCTAGCCCTGAGGGAACTGTGCGAACACTTCTTAAGACACCTTTGCCTGAAAATCCTTAGAGAGGATTTTGTAGTAGCGTTCATTTTAGGAAGGTAATTGGGGCAGGACTTTCTAACACCTAACAGTCATGTGTCAATGAAACCTTTGGGCAGTGGAAACTGGCACAGTGTTTGTTCAGTCTGTTTCCTATGCACCATGTATGTAGCTGGGCCTTAAGGAAGGTTTTCCAGGGTGAAGGATAGGGAACTATAGGAAGTAACAAATAGGAGGAAAACATTCTAGACCCAAGAGGATAATAGTACAGTTAATGGAGTGAGGTTATATTGTATAGACAGGATCTTCAGTAGTTCAGAATAATACATTGTAATCGTCGGATCCCAGTTACAGCAATAAGATTCACCTGTAATCATACACATTCTTTCTCTGTCCAGTGATTCTGCCCCTAGGAGCATATCAGTAGTTCCAGTGATACAGAAGTTAGTGATTTTTGACTTCAAAAAAAAAGGTGACCACTATTGTACTTGGAGAATATTTGTCAAAAACTCAAAGGTTAATTATTTATAATTAAGTTACTGGAATTGTAGAAGAGAGTATCCATTTTCAGATACCACAGTTGAATCACCCTTTTAGATTATTATAAAAGGCATTTTAAGATGGTATTTTATTTGTTAGATTGTATCTTAAGAATTGGATGACTAAAGAGCTATCTTTCTCTTTATCAGTGTGGATTTCAACAGAAGCCTACCTCTATTTCTTTGATGCACAATAGTGTGGATCATAAAATGAACTGTTTAATTCACATTCATGAACATTGGTATTTTATGAGTCTCTTTAAAAGCATTTGATTCACCTTAAAGATTGTGATTCGAGTTAGATAAGCACAAATACAGTATTAGGAAAAGTAAAATATGCAATCTTACTAAAATTTAATTTCAATCTATTAGAAGCTGTACATCTTTAAAAAAAAAAACTGGGAAGATATTCCTCTTTTGTTAGTTCATAATATGTACCACTATATAGTTTCCTCCATAGCAGCAGTACAAGCCATTTCATCAATAAAAAAATGTTGAAAATTCTATTATCTTCTTTGGAAAAAGTCTCCTAAATTTTTAAGAATTTAATTTTTTAGAGCTTATTTAATCTATTTTAAAATACTATGAGAAAGCTTTTTTTGAAAGTTATAAAGCACTAATACAAATTAGCATCATTTTCCAGAGCACAATGTTTGGCTTTTTCTGAACTTTCACTTATTTCACAGACATTAAAAGGGAGTGGCCTCCCTCCTTCTCAGATCTGAGGCCTAGCTTCTCTCATGAAAACCCCGTTCTACTTGAACCCATGAACACACACCTCTTAAGTGCCATGTTTATGGGACCTTTTGGGAAATGTTTTCCATGAATGTTTAATTTCTTTTTTTTTAAAATAGCTTGTGAACATTTAATTTTATTCAAAGATGACAGTTTTAAAGATCGCAGATACTGGAGAAGAGGGTACTCCTTTTGAATAGTATAATTTTGAATAGTATAATTGCTCTCAGTGATATTGACGGCATCAGTATGAATCTATAGAAAAAAAAACCTGTACAAAGGTTTTAAAACGCATTGTTGATAAGCATAGTGATGAATTTTAATTTGGAAAAAACGCAGTATAAAATATTGCTAACATGGCATATTAAATATGAGTAATTTACTAAGTCCTTTTAGACCTCTTATTTAAATTGACCCCAGTAATCTTCTGAAGGATTGATAGTGGCCATCATTTATTGGCCTAAAAGTTAACTTTAAGGAATATATATTATCAGTGTTAAATCCATGTTCTGTGGAGCTTTAATTAATGGAGGTGAAGAGGTTGGTGTTCATAAGATAGTGGTGGGGCTGGTAGTGAAATAAAACATCAATCTGTTTTAGAAAGAAGGAACTTTTTAGTCTTGCCTCAAGCAAACCAGAAGTGTCCATTGCTTAAAATCTGTTCTGAATGCTGTTTATTAAAATCTTCTTTTTGCTTTAGGTAGTACTAAATAATCTACTTCGATAGTAAATAATAGGTGAACATAATCATTAAATTAATGAAGGCAGGCTGCGGGGTTGGGAGTTCTACTTCCGGTTGGTGAATTGGCTGGTGAGTGACACCTCAAGGCAATTACTTAGCCTTTAATTTGTTTCCTCTTCTGAATATACAGTATGGAGCCTATGCTACTCAAAATGCTGACTTGGGTTTAAATCATCTTTAAGGTACCTCCCAGATCTAAAACTATGATTCTAGGTATTTTTAAAGTTGCTTCTACTTAATGCTCTTTCCCTTTTTAATGGTTCCTTTCATGCTTAAGAGCTTTTGCTAAAAGATAATTGTTAAGCATCCATTTCCTGGGTCACCTACATACAGTCTTTGTTCTCTAAGGATTAAAGTAGAGAAGAAAAATTACACAGACAAGCAAATGAGGACATTTTTCTAATTGCTTCTTGCTAGTTAACCACTGAACCTGTGAACACATATGAACATTGTCATTCATGCATTTATCCATTCATTCAGCAAGCCATTTGAACACTTACTATGTGAAATGTGTGTTATACATGACTTGAGGAACTAGTAATAAGTAAACAAAATCTTCCCAAACAAAATTCTAATTTCAGCTTAAACAGACATGGACATTATTTACTTATTGTATTGAATGTAAAGCTGGCACTGGGAGGGAAATTTTTATGCACTGGGTACTTAGCTAGATGACATCGAAGGGGGGGTCTGAGTGAATCACAGCACAATTCCTAAAACCCATTTCACATACTAATCAGCCAATCATAAACCTGATTAGGTAACAAAATCAAGGGTACCTAATAAGGATTTACATTTTGAGACTTTTGTGACAGCCCATATTTCTCAGAATTATTTTGACACTTGAATCTATTCCAGAGGTGTTGCTATACAGGGTGTGTGACAGAACAACACAAAGAAGCTGGTGCTGACTTACTATACATTTTTAACTACAAAAGCTTTACATCCACTATTGACAGTGAAGTGACTTTCTAAAACTGAAAAGTCTCAAAGGAGATCGCTGAACAGGTTTGTTTTTTATTCTTTTGTTTTTAAAGTAAGAAATTACACAAAATAAATTTTATTTTTATTACAAATACTTTTTAGAGAGCACACATGTATTACATAGGAAAACGGTTTCCTTTAAAATGCAGAACTGGTAATGGTAAACATAAAACACTTCCATGCTTCAACTGACAACTATTTGGGGAGTAAACACTGAATGGCATTGATTGATTGGGTGAAGTTTCCTTACCACTTGGGGATTCTGTGAAATTATGTTGTAATTCCTGTTGACCCAGCGATACAGATTAGCATCACTTGATGCTAACATTCTCCATAAAGATACAAAATGAAAATATATTTAAGAAGATCTCTTATGCATCATAGTCACAGCTTTTTAAAGCAGGAAAATGTCAGATACATAATAGATGAGAATCTGAAACTGACTGAAAATAGAACACTGACATCCAAGTAACCAGTTAGTCTGGGCTTAAAAAATTTTGCCATTGTATTGGTTAAAAATGTACTTTTAAAATGCTTTAATTTACCTAATTTTCAAATATTTTATGCGATTAAAATATCTACTGCATACTTTCTGTACATGTATTTTTAAACTTTAAAAAAATTAACGGAGTGTGCAGAGATGGCATAATTTTAGATGTCTCATTTCCAAGACACCTTTAGATTCCCAATCACTTCACTCAAAAGCTTGGTCTTGTTTTTTCCATAGGAAAAAGTCAAAGTGAGTCTAAAAACTGTCCTCAGAGTAAGGAGTGCAGTGCGGTGCAGACTGGACTTGCAGACAGTGTGCAGGAGAGGCACTGACACAGGAGAGGCAGGCATGTCAGGCCGCTGTTAAATTACTGCTTTTGTCTTCTTGCTTGCTAAAAAAAAAAACGGTCTCTTACTGATTTAACAAAGGCAGATGGTTGTAATTTTTTTTTTCTGATGCTTTAAGCACATGTTAACTGATTTCTTAATTCCTTTTGGTTCCTCCCATTGTTTTTAAAATAGGACTTTCATATGACTATAACCTCAAAAGCTGACCTGCCCAGGTTGAGCAGAGCATCACCAAGGGGAAGGGAAACCTTTTTTAGTTTTACAGAAACAAATGTTTAGATTATATATACATGTATTCTTTACATTGAATATTGTATTAGAGTCCTCCTTACAGGAAATGAAATAGTTTAGCACTCTTAGCATTAGCGTTCCTAGATTGGTGTCTATAGCTACAGTTTTAAAATGTATAACCTGAAAATGAAGTTAATTTTGCATTAATAAGAGCACACCATGATCTATGTAAAAAGACTGTCCATTTGGTGTATTTTTTTAAAAAAGAAAGCACTTTCATATTAACAAGTAGCATGTGTATGAATTTTAGATTTTCATATTTGTTGTGTCTGTATTCAGTGAAGTAAAATTGAACATTCAGATGTTTGTTGATGGCAACATTAACTGTTAAATTAAAGCACCTTATATTCTGCTGCTTAAACTTGCTTGTAATTGCACCTTTGTTACCTGCACATTTTCACATAGAATATTGTTGTTAACATTGCCTCATGTGGGTCTGGATGGAAGGTTAGTGGGCCTACAGGATCATTTATTTATATTGTTTATATTACAATAATATATTGTAGACCAGTTGTAAGTTCATTTCTTTACAAATAAAAGCCTCTTCCATTTGGCTGGTCTATTGAATAATTTTTTTTGCTTTAAGCTTATGAGGGCTTTGAAATAGTTACAAATTTGGCTATTTGAAATCTGCAGAGTGTAAATATTTACTAATTAAGTACAGTATATTTTATAGTATCTCAGTCCTGGGGCATCTGGCTGGCTTGGTTGCTTAAGCATCTGACTCTTCGGGTCATGATCTCACCGTTCGTGAGTTCGAGCCCTGAATCAGGCTCTCTGCGGGCAGTCCAGAGAGTCTGTCTCCCTCTCTTTCGGCCCCTCCCCCACTCGCTCTGTTTCGCTCTTTCAAAAAATAAATATACTTAAAATTTTTATTAAAAAAGTATCTTAGTCCTATGTAATGGTGCATTAGGAAGCGGTATACTTAGAGAAGAAGGGACCAAGTTTAGAAATTGTGACAGGGTAGACAAAATCTGTAAACATGACTTCAAGTGATTCTGCCATTTGGATTGCTTTACTCTAGCATTTCTCAACTGAGGGGCAATTCTGCCCACCAGGGAAGGTTTGGCAGTGTCTGTCTGGAGACAGTTTGATTGGCATCTAGTGGGCAGAGGGAAGGGGTGCTGCTAAATATCCTACAGTGTGCAGGGCTCCAAAAATTATCCAACCCAAAATGTCAGCAGTGCTGAGGAAATAAAGCCCTCCTTTACTTTTACAGTGTGATACATTGCCAGTGTGATTATGATTTGACATTGCAAGTATGTGACATGTAAGTTATAAATGAAAGTGAATCTGGTATGTCATGGAAAGAGACCTAGTCACTACTCCCAATTCTGTAAGGTGAGCAACTAAAACTTTTCTTCCAGGATTATCTGTGTTAAGAACAGAGATGTATTTTTTTAATTACCTAAATTTAAACTGAGCTAATCTTCCCCTTATGTTGAAGAGTATTTATATCAAATAAGTTTCAAAAAATGATCTTGATTTTCTTGCTCTGAATTTAATAAAAATGTTTATTTACATTTGTATGTTATTGGCATCGAATCTCAGATTTACATAACAGTTTGCATCCAGTAGTTTTTTGGGTAACACAAAATCAGTATTACTGGCCAAAGAGTAACTCGTTTTCACTTCTCTGTTAAGTCAGTATTTGTACATTTAGTGTTACAGAACAGGCATAAACATTTTTCTTGGAATTATCTTGTTTTTAATACTACAGTCCCAAAAGACACATTGTGAAAAGGTATGAAAGCTTTCGGAGTGGTGGGGAAACCAGTTCAATCTTTATGATTCTTATTGTAGTTGTCAGTTTGAGTTCGTTTTCACATGGCAACATTAACAAATTATTATTGATATAGGGTTTTCAATTTGCTCAAGATTATGAATTGTAAGTGGAATGAAGCAGCATTTCCAGTTGACGAATGGATCCGCAGGTAATGCAACGTCTCTTAAATTAAGCTTGTGACAGTTAAACCAATAAATTGTAGCACTGAGAAAACTATTGACAAAGTACAACCACGGAATGTTCATCTCAATATATGCTGGAATCTCTACTTTAAGTAGAAGGATAATTACTTGAAGTAGTACAAATGGTAACCAGGTACCAAGAAAACAGATGATGAACTTGGGCAAGAGTGTTTTTTTAGAGCTCAGAGTAGAACTAGAATGGGAGGAAAAGGGAAAATATAGAATAGTCTCATTCATGTAGGAAGTCAGCCTAACAGCCTGTACCAAGGCAATAACTTCTGACCAAGAGGTTATAAAAGCCATAAGTAAAATCATCAGCATGGAAAATGACAGCCAGTAACTCTGAATGCTAATGTAGAAAGGACATTGGAAAGAATAAACACTCTGTGCCTTCAGGCTTTGATAGATACCTGGGTCCCCCAAAACATAAGCAAGGACTGAAACCCAAATTAAAATTACTGTAAAGAAATAAAATAGTTTTTGACACTTCAATGCAAGCCTTGCAGTTTTAGAGAAATTCAGGTAATAATCTATAAACGCTATTAGGAAAACTGGAATATGCAAAAAACCATAAGTAAATGAAATAATTTGAGTAAACAGGCAGATGTGATATTTAGTAAACCTAATGCCTAAAAGTACAAAATCTCTGAAGTAATATATAATGGAAATGCTTACTAAAAGTAAGAGATCAGTGAATGCTAGTGAAAAGCAAAAATATTCCATAAAATTGTGATAGCTGTTTTTTCTTCTCATTCCTAGTGTGAGGATATTTAGTAATACTTTCCCAAGTATTATCAAGAATAGCAGACAGTTACCATCTAGGGGCTGATTTGCTTGACGTAACTGGTACTGAAAGCAGTTCTCGGAAGAAAGAGCAGTCATGTTTTCAGCGGAGCTGCAGAAGGCCTGCTGAAGTACATACAGTAAAACACCACTTCCCTTTATTTTCCATCCCTGTAAAGAAAAAGGGAAAGAAGACCTTGATGCTATGTTTAATTTAAACCTTTACAAAGCAAGCACCTCTAGTCTCAAAGAACAAACTAATCCAATCATTTCCCGAAATAAATTATAGCTGACCCTTGAACAAGAAGGGGGTTAGGGGTGTTGATCCCCGGTATAGTGAAAAATCTGTACGTAACTTTCAGCTCCCCCAGAACTTCACTCCTAATAGCCTACTGCTGACTGGAAGCCTTACTGACAAGTCAGTGAACACATGTTTTGTATGTTTTATATGTATTATATACTGTATTCTTAGAGTAAAGCTAATGAAAAGGTTAGGAAAATCCTAAAGAAAAAACATTTACAGTACTCTACTATATTTATTGAAAATAGTCAACATATAAATGGATCTTTGCATATCAAACCTGTGTTGTTCAACGATCAACTGTAAACATATAAATAGGAATTTAAATTTCTCATAATGAAGAATATGATCAAGAAGAATTAATGTGTATACTTTGGTCATTTTTTTTTGAGACCCAGATGGTTCAGAACTTTAGACCTCTAACCAAAATGTTACATAAAAATTATTCAACTTCTGTGAAAGTACAGATTTTAGTAATTTGTGGAGAGAGGTAGAAAATCTACCAGAGCCAAAAACAGGCTTAAGATAGCAACCTGATAGTAATACTCAGGACAATAACTGATGGCTGTTAACCCAGTCTCACTATGACTCCAGACAATGAACATTACCCCAACTCAACTCTTTGTCGTTTTGTCAGTGAAACTTAGGAATTTTCGAAGCGTTTTAGCTGTGGACCATCATCATTCTGAAACTCAAAGATATAAAAACAGTAAAGCTGAAAATTAATAGGGACACAGGTAAAGAAAGATAAAAGATTTATCATTGGACATGATCTTCCAGGTATGGCACCTGGACAGATGAGAGAAAGAATCCAGGGAAGGAACAGAGGCTGAGAACATTAAGAAGTGCTAGGTAAAGGCAAAGGAACAGGAGTTGAGGCTGGAGTGATTAAGGCATTTGGTGGCAGGAAAAAGAAGATGAAAAAGGTCAGAAGGGAAGAAAACAGGAAAGAATGGAAGGAGGGGCACCTGGCTGGCTCAGCTGGTGGAGTGTGCAACTCTTGATCTTGGAGTTTGAGCCCCATGTTGGGTGTAGAGATTACTCGAAATGAAATGAAATGAAATAAAAATAAAATGGAAGGGGCGCCTGGGTGGCTTAGTCGGTTAAGCGTCCGACTTTTGCTTAGGTCATGATCTCGCGGTTCGTGGGTTCGAGCCCCGCGTCGGACTCTGTACTGACTGCTGGCTCAGAGCCCAGAGCCTCTTTCAGAGTGTGACTCCCTCTCTCTCTGACCCTCCCCTGCTCACGCTGTCTCTCTCTCTCTCCTAGAAATAAATAAAACATTAAAAAAAATTAAAAGTAATAAAATAAAATGGAAGGAAATTTGAGGAATTTATCATAAAAAACCCACAACTGACCAAAAGTTTAAGACTATTCCACCACAATGTTTATATAAACAAGAAAACAAAAACAGGAACAAACCCACCCATAAATGCCAACAACTGGAGATGGGTTAAAAATGATTGATGGCACATCCTAATGATGTACCATTATGCAGCTATTAAAACTGATTCTCGGGATAGGAGGAAGATTTAGTTTTCACTCTTCCTCTTCCATAACTCGTGAAATGTTAACCTTGAGTTTGTTACATGTTAAAAAATATAAATTTCTACAGGATGTTTGAGTGAATTGCAGTTTACAAAATTATGCAGGAACAAATCTAAATATTAAGACATTATACATATACAGAAAAATGACTAAAAGGGTACACATTGAGTTATAGGTGTCTCTGAATTTCTCAAACTTGAAGGAAAACAATTAGTAAGGGAATACAAAGCCTGAAAAGTAAAAGAACTGAATTGGCCTAAAACCTGTTAAACAATGATTAAATTGTACTCAATTAATTGTACTCAAGGGAGTAGTTGAGGATATTATCGGAGGGTAAAGAAAGAAACCAGTGTGAAAGAAAGCTATCAGTTCCTTGGACAGATTGAACCCTAACTTGACAGAGTCTTTCCATGTTGAGGAGAGAGTTCAAATGCTTTCTTGAGCTTCTGTGTTCATCTTTTCATTGTCCCAACTTTCGCAAGAATCCTGCTAAGTCTGGTGAGCCAAAATCTGACCTTCAATATCTGGTTAGGTTCCTCAACCCGCACCACCCCTCAGCGATGATCTGTCACTCTGGCCTGCCTTTAGCAAGAATCCCTCCTTATCCCCGATGTTTCCTCAGTAATACTCCATCTACTAACCTCCACCTTGGTCCTTGCCTATAAATTTCTACTATTCCTTGTTGTGGTCAGAGTCAAGCCCAATCTCTACCCCACTGCAAAACCCCATGGTAGTGGGCCCTGCACCTAGTGCAAAATTCCTGAGTAAAGTCTGCCTTACAATGAGAAACAGTGAAATCTGGCCATGTGTAGCAACATGGATGGACCTTGAGGGTGTTATGCTGAGTGAAATAAGGCAGAGAAGAACAAATATATGTTTGCACGTATAGGAGGATTAGGAGGAACTTGACGGAGGAACAAGGGGGAGAAGAAGGGCGGAAATGGTGGGGGAAAGGGAGAGAGGCAAACCAGGAGAGACTCTTGAATGCTGACAAAAACTGAGGACTGATGGATGTGGGGGGGAGGGGGGATGGGCATGGAGGAGGGCACTCGGGATGAGCACTGGGTGTTATGTGGAAACTAATTTGTCAATAAACTATTTGTAAAAAAAAAAAGTCTGCCTTAACATTCTTTAACAAGGGTCATAAATATTTTTTCCTTTAACATACTGTCATGGCTATAAATCTACTATGTCATAAGCTGATTTACTAAGGTACACAAATTATGTATTCACACACACACGTGTGTGTGTATATATATAAGACAGTTACAAAAAATCAGTTATACCTATGTTTATAATTACAGGTAGAAAAAAACCACTGAAACAAATTCTTTTGTATGCTCAATTTTTTCTATACTCATATATATATATACACATATATATATAGTTTAAACATATATAGTTTAACTTGACCCTCTCCCAAAAAAGTTCCATTAAGATTTGATGTACAAAACATAAAATCATGGCTATCACCTTGACAAATGCCACTGACCTTATCAGTGGTGTTGTTTGGATAAGAAAGCCCAGATGGAATGATAAGAATATATGAAGTCATCCTTGTGACAAGAGGGGGAAAAAAAAAAAAAAGGCTGTTTTAAATAGCCAGTGTTGGAGTGCCTGGTTGGCTCAGTTGGTTAAGCATCCAAGACTTAATTTTGGCTCAGATCATAATCTCATGGTTCATGAGATCGAGCTCCGAGTTGGAACCCGCTTAAGAGTCCCTCTCTCCCTCCCTCTGCCTCTCCCCTGCTCACATATGTGTGCACTCTCTCTCAAATTAAAAGTAAACATGGAAAAATCATAGCCAATATTCATTCAAAGTGGGTGTGAAAAAGGTAGAGTGGGTTTATATTTAGACCCATCTAAAAAAAAAAATACCTTTAGTATAAGAGAAACAATTGCCTATATAAAGTAATTTTAACCTTTATAACTCATCCAAAATAGATTAAAGAAACCATGTTTAAGTGGTCAACATCCAAGGGATGTTTCCTGAGAATCCATTTCATCACCGGCTCCAGAGAGGGCCCACTGGAAGGACAGAGAAGCAGTCTAGTCCCTGGAAGAAGAAGTAAGAAGGGACGATGAGGATACAGATCAGTTCTAGCCACCAATGTACGAGCCACGAGCCTCTTTAGAAGAGGCCTGGAAGAACGAAGACAAGTTGGAATGTGTAAGAGAATCACGAAGCTGAAAGAAACTAGAGATGGGGCGGGGAGAGACCCTGGTTAGATATGCAACTGAGGCAATAAAAAGCAGTCGAAAGAAGTATATCGGAACACAGGGACTTAGTCATTTTCCGATAGTCCCTGAATATATAGTGATTGTGGGAACAAATCAAAACTTCCTCATACCAATTTTATGTCCCACTTTCCCCGTAAACCACTGAAGAAGTATTAAAAATTCCAGTACTTTGTTCTTTAAACGACCTCCCAAGCAAGACCAGATAAAAATCCTTTGAGAGGCTACCTGTGCTGAATTTTCCCTTGAAAAATGTCCACCTGGACTGCAGGGATCCAGAGATTTGTAAGATACGGCTCTTTTCCTGAATGACTTTTTAAAACTATTTATGAATCCATTCATATACAATGTAAATAGCTAACGGAGAGGTCCTTTTTAAGGCACCTTTGGGCTTGCTTTGCAACCTGGCTGGTTTGGAAGAATTGGCAGGGCCTGAGAGGGAAACAAACCATGATTTCTTTTAACTGATCCTGTCTCTGGTTTCCTATTTAAAACCCAATTAATTCTTCATAACACACAATGCTTAACATACTTACTCTGCTTTCTCAGGTAGGTCTTTCTTGGCTGATAATCTTCCAATTTCAGTTTTACTGTCTTTAGTGATCTTACTCTTGGTACGTGGCATACCAAAATGCTTATGTGAACAAGCTCTGTGTGAAAGACAGAAAACAAAAATAGCCATCGTTAATAGCAGTCTTAATGGGACTTCAGCGTCACCTACTGGCCCCAGCGCTCTGCTCGGAGAAACTAGAACTTTCTGTGGGATTAGGGCCAGTAATTAACTGCCTATATTCTTTTTTTTCCAGGAAAAGGAAGAAAGGGGATACATTTAAGTTGAAGTCCCCAAAAGACACTGAGATATGTGTACATATAAGACCCATGTGTATAACATGGCACCTATTTTATAAAATCTTGTTTGCATTGCAGTGTTCACCTCCAGGCTTCAGAGGCCAAACCAGTAGTTCCCAAACTGGTTTCAGGACCTTTTGACACTTGCTGCATGTTAACATAAGTAACTTTTTATGAAAAATCACTATTTTACCAAACAAAAAAATTTAGTGAGCACAGTGGCATTTTTATCACATTTCACAAATTGCTCTGGTGTCTCGCTTGATAGCAGACCACTGAACCCTCTATATTTAATCAGTTGCGATATCACCCATCATGTAGCTTTTACAAAGTCCTGTGTGCATTCATGAGAATTTGAGAGTAAAATAAAAAGGTATGTACATAAAATTATAATCAAATAGTTGCATCATGCAATCTCAGAAAAGCTTGACAGAACGATGTGCATTAAACAGCAGTATGCAAAGGGGAGCGGGATTAATGTCCTGGTCTACTCTCCCACAGAAGATGGAACTGGTACTGTAAGGTATGCTGATTCCAATTCGTGGAGCAAGTCTGTGGCTGAAATAATGTACTGAGCTTTGTCCAGGGCCTTATATACTTTTTACCTTCCCCTTACAACAGTCACAGAAGGTATAGGTACCCCCCCCCGCCCCGACGCCCCATGAGGAAACAGGCTCAGGGGTTAATAAGCACATTTCCTGGTTAGATGACTGATAAATGTGGGAGCGGAAGTTCCAGCGCAGCTCTGATTTCAGAGCTCATGTTCTCCAGGAAGCTACATTAATGGCTCAACTCCCCACTGGGCCTGGAGAGAGGGACCCAATCTATGTATGTGAAAAAGCTTTCTGAAAAGGTAGCATCCAAGTAAAAGTGTTTATGTTGATTACTGGTACCCAAAGGACCATAACTAACTGATCTACTTGGATAATGTAATTTTATTCTTCCAAAAGGTAAATATAAATAAACTCTTCAAAATACCGTCCTTACTTGATAATATCAAAATTCAGTGAAAAAAACAAAATGTCATTCGATCCTGACAACTTTTAAAGAAACAGATGTTTTTATTCATTTACATAGTATAATTCAATTCAATATAGGAAGAAACTGTAGAAAACAAGTTTTTATTTAACTTGTTTTTAAAAATAGGTAACATAATTTACATGGTGTGAAACTCAACAGAAGTGTCCGCTATGAAATTTATTCATCCTGCCCACCCTTAGCGCCAACTAATCACTTTCCAGTACAGTTCCCTCCCTAGAAAATACCATGGTTACCAGTTACTTCTGTATGCTTCAAAGATACTCTAAAGCAAGGTTTTAAAAAGAAATTTGAAATTTCCATGTAGCAAAGGATTCTTGATTTGCCCTTTCCCAGGTCTCATTCATATACTTATAAAATCACGTTAGAGCTATAAAGGTAGAACACAACAAAACATCAATCACTGATCAGTCAGATCACAGGAGTAATTCCCACCAACCCCAGACATAAGGCTGGCCATGAAGAAGGTCAGCAAGGCCAGGCAGGAATACAGTTAAGTAGGGATTATCTCACAGTAGAATGAGAAGTAATCTCTATTTTTTTCTGAAGCATAGGAATTACAGTGTTCGTTCCTACCTACTTCTCTGCTTCTAGGCCCATGGAAAGATTTCAGACTGTTACAATTAGGTGGGCCTGTGATGTGGCTATTTCTGGCCAAAGGGCTATGAGGCCAAAACATTTCATTGCAGAGGACTCTGTCAGCCTGAGTCCTTGGGGGGCTGTGTGGTGCCAAGTCCTTGATGATTCATGGTGGGTGTATGGTATGAGGAAGAAATAAAAGTCTATTGTATTAAGCTGCAAGGATTTTGGGTTATTTGTTATGGCTTATTCTAACAAACACAATTCCATATAATTTGACATTTTTTTAATATTATTTACATAATCAGAATTTTAAAAAACTATAATAGAAAACAACTTTGAAAAGCAACAGTGCAAATGTCAGAAAATTGGAAAAATAAAAATTCAGTTTTAATTTCCAATACATGAATTGCTTTTGCAGTGTTTCCCCAATTGTATCTGTCTGTATTGGAAAAGAGGGTCTCAGTTGAGTTTCCACCTTTAAAAAAGGATTTGGGTGCCTGGGTGGCTTAGTTGGTTAAGCGTCTGACTCTGGATTTCAGCTCAGGTCATGATCTTGTGGTTCGTGAGTTCTAGCCCTGCATCAGCTCTGCACTTCTGCACTGATCGTGTGGAACCTGCTTGGGACTCTCTGCCCACCCCCCCCCCCAGAATAAATAAATAAGCTTTAAAAAAAAAAAGGGGGGGGGTGAATTAAACCCAAAGTAGGCTATACAGAGCAGAAAACAATGAAATTTATAAAACAGAACAACCAGTGAATCAAAAGCTGTTTGTTTTTTTTTACTGTTTTTTTTTTTTTTATTTATTTCTAGGAGAGAGAGAGAGAGACAGCGTGAGCAGGGGAGGGTCAGAGAGAGAAGGAGTCACAGACTGAAACAGGCTCCAGGCTCTGAGCTGGCAGTCAGCACAGAGCCTGACGCAGGGCCCGAACCCACGAACTGCAAGATCACGACCTAAGCGAAAGTCGGACGCTTAACCGACTAAGCCACCCAGGCACCCCTAAAAGCTGGTTTTTGGAAAAACAATAATAAAACTGATAAAATTTCAGCCAAACTATGCAAGAACTTACCAAACTTGGGAAAGAGACCACCTCACTACGCATGCTACAAACATTACAAGGATAATAAGGGACTGTTACAAATAATTTTAATAAATACAACTGTCATGAAACAAGTTTCTAGAAGGACATTAACAAATCTCATTCAAAAAGATCCCTAACAACTTCTATTAAAGAAACATTTTGCACTTAAAACCTTCCCACAAAGAAAACCTAGGCTCAGATGTCTACACGGGTGAATTCTAGCAAACATTTAGGGAAGAAATACCAAACTTAAAGAAAACAAGATGACAGAAATACCTCCTAATCCTTCACAAGACCTGATCACCCTGATCAACACCAAAGACGTTTCAAGAAAACTAAATTGTAAATCAATATCCCTCAGGAACATACAGTCAGAAATCCTTAACAAAATTATCAAATTACACCTATCAATATATAAAAATAATATACCCTAATACATCACAGCCAATGCAAGCTTGGTTTAACATTAGAAAATAGGGGCACTTGGGTGGTTCAGTCGGTTAAGCGTCTGACTCTTGGTCTCAGCTTGAGTCATGATCTCACGGTTTCATGAATTCAAGCCGCACCCCATGCCGATAGTGCAGAGCCTGCTTGGGATTCTCTGTCTCCCTCTCTCTCTGCTCCCACCCCACTCACGCTCTCTCTGTCTCAAAATAAATAAACTTAAAAAAATATTTCTATATACTAGCAATAAACAATTGAAAAATGAAATAAAAACTAAGAGCATTAAAAATATAAAACATTTAGGATAAATTTGACAAAGTACGTGCAAGCACAGTATTCTGAAAATTTTAAACAATACAGAAAGATCTAAGCCAGTGAAGACAATTACCATGAGTTGAAAGACTCCGGTTTTTTTGCTGTTGAAATTGGCAAGCTGATTTTAAAATAATATGTGATTTTATTAACAAAACTTTTTTAATGTTTATTTTTGAGAGCAAGACAGAGCATGAACAGGGGAAGGGCAGAGAGAAAGAATAAGACATAGAGTCCATAGCAGGCTCCAGGCTCTGAGCTGTCAGCTATTCAGCCCCAAGGCGGGGCTTGAACTCACAACCCGTGAGCTCTGCCTGAACCAAAGTCAGACATTTAACTGACTGAGCCACCAGGTGCCCCTGGCAAGCTGATTCTACAATTTGTATGGAAATGTAAAGAACTGAGCAGAGCCAAAATGATTTTTAAGAACAAAGTTGGAGGACTTATACTACCTGATTTTAAGACTTGTTATAAAGGTACAGAAAGAGAAAAGAGTAGTAGTATCAGCATAAGGAGAGTTCAATAAATCAATGAAACAGAAGAGGATCCAGAAACAGACCAGACATTTATGGTCAGCTGATGTTTAAAAAAAAAAAAAAAAAAAGTGCAAGGTAATGCAATGCAGGGAAAGGACAACCTCTTCTAAAATTGGTGCCGGAAAGTGGCTATTCATATGGGAAAAATTAACCCTTACACCACACCATACATAAAAATAAACTCAAAATGGATCGTAAGACTAACCGTGGGGGGGGGGGGGGGGTTAAAGAGGTGGTAGGGATTAAGGAGTGAACTTGTGATGAGCAGCGGGTGATGTATGGAAGTGCTGAATCACTATATTATACATCTGAAACTAATGTTACACTGTATGTTAACTAGCTGGAATTTAAATAAAAACTTGGGGGAAAAAGACTTTAGAAGTGAAATTGAAATTTCTGGAAGAGGGGAACCTGGGTGCTCAGTTGGTTAAGTGTCTGACACTTGGTTTCGGCTTTGGTCATGATCTCATGGTTTGTGAGATCAAGCTTGGTCAGCACAGAGCCTGCATGGGATTGTCTCTCTCCCTCTCTCTCTGCCCCTGCCCCACTCACATGTGCACACTCTTTCTCTCCCAAAAAAAAAAAAAAAAAAAAAAAAAAAAAAAAAAAAAGAGGGAGGGCACCTGGGTGGCTCAGTCAGTTAAGCGTCCAACTTCGGTTCGGGTCATGATCTCACAGTTTGTGGGTTCGAGCCCCGCGTCGGGCTCTGTGCTGACAGCTAGCTCAGAGCCTGGAGCCCCTCTTCAGATTCTATATCTCCCTCTCTCTCTCTCTGACCTTCTCTTGCTCACGCTCTTTCTCTGTCTCTCTC